TTTGTTTGTGTCACGCCGGTACGTTTCTTATTCGTTACTGCGTCGCCGGGGAGGTATTCGCGAATTTGCATAATCGGTGGCCCCGTCGCCCCGTCCATGACGTGCGCCTTGATCTCTCAGCTCCCTTTTCACCCAAAAAAAAAAACAAATAAAAAATTTTATTTGCAATTTTTTTTTTTGGTTTTTGTGGCGTGCATTTCGGCGTCTTTTTTGTCCTCCAGCAGCGGTGGCAGCTGTAGTCGGCAGCGTCCAGCCCTGAACTTGAAACTCGCAGAAGGGGCTGGAAGATGGACGTCGGCGACGTCGACCTCGCTCGGCGGCAGTTTGAACAAGGAGACGCACTCCGCGAGCCGCCCCGCCCCGCCCCGCCCCGCCCCGCCCCGCCCCGCCCCGCCCCGCCCCCCCCCCGCCCCGCCCCGCCCCCCCCTCGCGAGTTGACTGATGATCCCGCGGGCGGTTCATTAGGTGCGGCCGGGCAGCGTAATAAGGACGCAGGACGTGTCCACCGCCGCGCCGTGTCGTCGGGCCGCGTCGAGCCGCGTCGCCGACCTGGAGGAGGCCTGGCTTTGTTGGGGCTCGCGCCGAATTGTCTCCACTTTATTCCGCCCCACCCTCGGAAGCCTCGAAGCGCCTCGAAGCGCCGCGAAGCGCGGCCGTCTCTTCTCCTCCGGTTCCTCATCGCAATCTCGTCCCCTTGAAGCGCGGGCTGCGCGCCGCCTCGCGCCGCCTCGCGCCGTCGCTCCGTCTCTGCCGCACTCGCCGGGGGCTCCGTCGGGGTGCGAGAGGGACGGCGACGACGGCCCCGCCGGGAATGAGTCATGTTTCAACGGGCCGGGCCCCTCCGGCCCCGCCTGCAGGCTCATTCCGAACTTGCCCTCGTCGCTCTGCCTTTCTCCCTCGCACTCACGGGCAGCCCCAGGTGCGAGAGGGACAGAGCGGCGCCTCGGAACCACTCTGCCGAGCCGCGCCGCCGTTCGACCGAAATTCCTTTGTTGCTACTTCCAGAGTGCCAAACACACCGCAGTGCAGCCCACTCGGGCTGTCCATTCGCTGGCCTAATGTCACTGCTTCTAACGAGACGACCCGAAACCGCCGCCAAAAACACCGCCAGCAAGGAGAGCGGCGCGATTCTGCCGTCTCGAGTGAGACACTCGATTTTTCATGCCCGCGGTGTCAGCCCTTACCAAACCGAAATCATCCGAAACTGGCCGAGGACACATCCAAAGCTGTCCGACGGCCCGGGACAGCCCTTTTCTGTCCGGGACTCGACTTTTCGAGTCCGAATCCGGGACAGGCGAAGCGGACAGCCCGATTTTTTGCGAAGGCTGTGGGGAAGCCCGAATCTGTCGACGGTCTGTCCGATACAGTCCGGATGCAGGGGGCCGGGGATTCACTCTCTTGTTGGGACACGTTAGAATTTTTGAACATGTGACAAAAACGGCGAGTGACCGGATTCCTATCCTGGTTGGGCCTACCTTGTTTGCCTCAGTTCCTAGAATTGTAGCGAAAAATTCAAAGGGTTGTTTGCCTCGCGGGAAAACCCCCGCCGCACGCGGGTGCGCGAGGGGACGGGTTCCCCCGGGCGGACCCCTTTAACCCGCCTATCCCTGCGCAGATTGCACAGGTAATGGTAAAAACACAGGGCACAGCCAGCACGCTGTATTAAACACACTTTTATTTCGCAAAAAAAGCAGCGTCAAACGTAACATCAGAGCAGCATTTAAAATATTACTCGTTCAATACGGTAATGCCCAAATCTGTTGTGCATGACAGCAAAAAATTTTTCCCATAAATTATATTTTTTCCTAGTGGGTATGCCCAAAAGCCGCTAAAATTTTTGCAAGATCTAATTTAAAAATGGGGCCCGCTATGTCGAATCCCGTATTCAGGTGATTCAGACAAGATCGCGTCAAAAACCGCACCCTTCTAGCTTGCATAGCGCGCGGGCGCTCGCCAGAGAGGGGGAAGGGGAGCGCTGCGCGCTGCGCCGCGCCGGTAAAGAGGCTCGTGGGCCGGCCCTCATGTTTCGGGGTTAGCGCAGTGGTCAGGGGGGGTCCCAGCAAGCACGGGAAAGCCCAAAAGGAGAGGGGCCCGGGAACGAACCCACCACAGTACCCCCACCTCGGCCAACGCCAGTTTTTTTTTTCGGACCGTCTGGGAGGGGCCCGGAACAGCCTGACCAGCCCTGTCGGACTCCCCGAAATCCTTCTGATTTGTACTTTTCGACCGATTCCGGCAGTCCGGAAAGATTCGGAACGTCCGGCGGGGACTGACGGACTGTCCTCCGGAAAATTTCGGATCGTCCGATCGGACCCATTTCGGAACCTTCCCCGTTTTATAAGGGAGTCTTTAGGTTGCCGCCAAGACAAGGCCACAGCCACAGCCGCGCGAGAGAAAAGAAATCGGCGAAAAAGCCAATGATACAGAGGTCAATCTTACAGCGTGGGGTCATTGATTATTTACTCTCAGTTCCTCGCCCTCTCGATCACTTTATCTTTCTCTCTCTCCTGTGGCACGGGTCGTGGCACTTTGCCCACGAGCGCGGCCGATACTTTGGGCACGTTAAGAACTTTTTTTTTTTAGTTTTCATTCGCTTTTCTTCAGTTCTCATTTGAATGCCTCAATGTCGTTTTCTTTCGATTCCGAGACGTCGTCGCGCCTCCTAGGCGTCAGCCTGTCGGTGTTCTTTTCAACACGCTCCAAGTGCCCTGCTCTCTCTCTCTCTCTCTCTCTCTCTCTCTCTCTCTCTCTCTCTCTCTCTCTCTCTCTCTCTCTCTCTCTCTCTCTCTCTCTCTCCGCGCGGCCAGGTGTGTCGCCGGCCTCGGAGTTTGAAGCGCTTCTGGGCGCTCCGGAGGGTCAACGAGGGGCGGGCGGTGGCAGACCGCGAGGCAGACGCCCCCCACCACTGCCGTTGTTCGCAGGACCAGTCGAACCATTCCGCTGCCCGCACTCCGTCTCTCTCGCACTCCTACGGCCCCGCCCATGAGTGCGAGAGAGACGGGGTGAGAGTGCAGGGGCCAGGGACCGTGCCGCAGGGACCAGGGTGGCCGTACCTGCCCCTAAATTGCGGAGGCGGGCCGACTATTTGACGCAATAGCCTCCGGCAGCGTTCCTGGGGCTCACGGGGCCCGCGGGGCCCGGGCCTGCTGCTGGCAAGGCGCCCGAGGTCCGAATCGGCGACAAGCCACCGCCCGCGCGGCCCCCACGGCCACCACGGCCTCCACGGCACGGCCGGAAACGGCGGACTCCCCCGCGCGGCAGTGTGGCGCCATCTCTCGGGGCCGGCGAGCAACTGGTTGCCTGTCCTTGTCTCTACAGCCGCCCTCTCTGCCTGTCCAGGTACACGTGCTCCGTGTTCATGGTGCCGCTGGCGGTGCTGCTCTTCACGTACTCCCGCATCTGCTGCGAGATCTGGCGCAGCGCGTCCACCAAGCACGCGCCCGTGCTCGTGGACGGCACGTGCAAGACCTGCCCGCACGTGCACGCCTACGCCTACAGGTGGGAGTCCACAGACTGGCTGACTGACTGACTGACTGATTGACTAACTGACTGTGAATGAATGAATGAATGAATGAATGAATGAATGAATGAATGAATGAATGAATGAATGAATGAATGAATGAATGAATGAATGAATGAATGAATGAATGAATGAATGAATGAATGAATGAATGAATGTTCCAGGTTCGCGCCGCACCAGCAGCCGCAGCCCGTGAGCAGCAACAGCTTCGCGTACGCGCGCTCCCAGCAGCAGGCCACGCAGCGCACCAACCCGCTCATCTCGCGCGCCAAGATCAACACGGTGAAGCAGACGGTGCTGGTCATCGCCATCTACATCATCTGCTCGGCGCCCTTCATCTGCGTGCAGCTGTGGGCCGCCTGGGGCAACGCGGAGCACCCCTTCTTCCGTGAGTACACTGTAAAAGGGCGGATCCAGGGACGCACAGTGGGCCAGAAGACCGGTGGAGGCGGCCAAAACGCACGCGTTTTGAGCTCCAGAGTCGCTAAACAGGACTCGAACCGAGGTTGTGGTCCCACCAATGGATTCCTCGTCCGGAGAGCAATCCATTGGTGGGGTCACAAGTTCGGTTCGATTCCCATTTGGTGGGTCAGAGGTGAAGCGAGTCTCCCTAGCACAGCTTTTACAGGCCACTTTCCAATTTTTATTTTTATTCCTTGACCTTACGGCATATTTCCGCATCCGAGTTGCCCTCGGAGTTGCCCAACAAACTCCTGGAAGGGTCTGATCCTCGTCACTGCAGTGGAAATGTTTTGAAAGGGAACGCTACCGAGTCCTCGGCGACAGTGACGCGGGTTCGATTCCCACTGCCGCCCGGTGGCGAGACTTTTATTTTTCTCCGGCTGATAGCCACGCCACGGTAAACACTCTTTCAGTGGAGGCGCGCAGGACTGCCGCGGAGGCAGACGAGAGCAGCAGCGTCACACGGCAGCGGGACGCACAGAGCGCACCAACGCGTCACCGCGCCAGGCTAACTCTGCTCTGTCTCTCTCGCACTCATGGGGCACCCTGTATGGGTGCGAGAGAGAGCGTGCTTGTTCCGCGTGGCCGGAGCCCTACGCCCAGGCGCTTCCGCGTGCAACCGTCTGATTCCGAACACTGCTTCGTCGCTTTGTCTCTCTCGCACCCCTACGGACCGCCCCATGAGTGCGAGAGAGACAAAGCAACGAAAGCAGTGTTCGGAATCAAACGGCAGATAGACGAGCCGAGCCGTGTTGGTGACGCCTGCCGTGTGCCTACCGTGCAGCGTGTCCACGCCAGCGCGTCGCCTTTTTGCCGATTGGCGCGGGGGGAGTCTCGCTCTGTCTCTCTCGCACCCGTACGGGCCTCCCCGTGAGTGCGAGAGAGACAGAGCGACGAACGCGACTCAGTCTCCTGCTCTGCTCCGCGCCCACTGGGCCGTGAATGCCCGCTAAGTGAAAACGCTCCCCCTTCCCCCACATCCAGGGCCAGACCGTCGCTCTGTCTCTGTCGCACTCACGCGGCGCCCCGTAGCGACCGGCATCGACGAGACGTAGCAGAGCAGACCAGGCGGTCGCGTTTTGTCATCCTCTGAAAGAGACTGTGTTGTGTGCCGCAGAGGGCCGCCACATGACCATCCTGGCGCTGCTCTTCAGCCTCAACAGCTGCGTCAACCCCTGGATCTACCTGGCCTTCAACAAGGACCTGGTGCGCATGCTGTGGCTGCTGCTGTCGTGCCAGAACGGCGCGTCCAGCGGCCACGTGCTGTCCGCGCACTCGGGGGGCTCGGGCTCCTCGCAGTCCAACACGCAGCACCGGACCTGCTTCACGGACCTCAACAACCACGTGCCCGGGCCCGGCACCGCCATCGGTAGGCACAGGTAGGCGCCAGCACCGACCACACTGTGGAACCTGTTTTCTTCTGTCTTTTCGAAGAGCGTCCCCCGCCGACGGAGCGCCGCGATGGATCGCATGCGCCGCCATCTTCGGCGTCCCCACTCACTCAGACGGCCTTAGAGATAGACAGCGGCGGAGGTAGACGGGGAACGCCCCGCCCCGCCCCGCCCCGCCCCGCCGCGACCCGCAGAGCGCGGAGCACCCCGAGAGATGGATTGCCGATGCGCGGGGCGGCGGTGTGGTGGCAAGGAAGACCGTGGGCACAGGCATTTTTATTAAAGTGTGTCTGAGGGCAGGCGGGCCGGGCGGGGCGACCAGGGCAAGCGGAGCGGGCAGGGCCAGCGGGATATGAAGGGCAAGCCACAAAGGGCCTGTTGCAGCCCGGCCGCGCCAGCCGCGCTGTTTGCAGACACGCCCACAGTGTGCCGACGTCTGGAGCCGGCTGGAGCACAAAGGCCATGGCTGGAGGGAAGGCCGTCTCCAGCCGCCTTCTCCAGTCGAACACTTCTCATCTGCGGGGGGGGGGGGGGGGCGACCGACCCGGGAATCCCTCGCCCCGGCCACGCGCGTAGTGACTTAGCGTGGGGTGGCCACGCGCGGCGACCCAGCAGACTGGATTCCGAGAGTCGTTATCGTCGCCCTGTCTCTCTCGCACCTAGACGGCACGCCCTGTGAGTGCCAGAGAGACAGAGCGACGAAAACAACTCTCGGAATCAGTCTGCAGGGTGTCTGTCTGGCGGGGCTGGTGCTGCTGGCGCGCTGCGGACGTTAAGATTCAGTTAATTGGCCCCTCGCTGCCCCCGTAAGCCCTCTGCGTCTTAGCGCGCCGCCCCGCGCCGTCCGCCGGCGTGGTGCAATTTGCTGGAGCTAATGGTGGTCCCGTCCCGGCCCGTCCCGGGTCGGCTGGTACCGCGGGTACCGCTGGAACGGCAGTTTGCCGCGGGAACTACACGCTACTCCACCGTACACACGCCGCGCTACCCGCCAACTACACCACGGCATAACATACTGCCTCGCGGCGGTCGCGGCAACACTGTGAAACTTCCGGACATTTTCACGGCTAATTTTTCCACACAAAGAATGTCACTAAGCCGGTGACCATTTTCGCGCCCATAAAATCAGAGTCATTAATTTCTGATTTTGTGATCAAGTGACAGTAAAATTTTACAGTGACTGCGGAAGCGGCTTTGCGCACACTCGGAATGGCGTAACCTTGGCCTTGTCCGAAGACTTCCCCGGCGCGCCGCTCTCTGGAGTCGCGGGGTAGCGACGCGCGCCGCCCCGTCGCCGATACTCCGGCCGGGCCGTACGCACAGCAGGGCGCGGGGTATCGCCGCCGCCAGTGTGGCGAAGACCGCCGCCGACGGGGTTCCGGGTTCGCTCTGTCCCTGGTTGGGAAGCAGGGCTGGCAGGCCAAGTGGGCCAGGAGACCGGTGGAGGCGGCCATAATATTAGACGCGTTTTGAGCTCCAGAGTCGCTAAACAGGACTCGAACCGATCGTGTGACCCCACCAATGGATTGCTCTCCAAACGAGGAATCCATTGGTGGGGTCACACGTTCGGTTCGAGTCACATTTAGCGACTCTGGAGCTCAAAACGCGTTTAGAATTTTGGCCGCCTCCACCGGTCTTCTGGCCCTGGCCCATTGTGCAGCAGGGGCGTAGGAGGCAGGTGGCGCCGCAGGGATAGTACCGCGAACACACTGTATACTCCCCTTCCCTCCCCCGGCCGGTTCTCGGCTGCTGTCGGCTCATATGTCCGGGCCGTTACGCGGGGCATCGGAGCAGGCTGAGCAAGCGAAGCAAGGTCGTAAAGAGCGCCATCTTCCTCGATGCCTCACTCGCGGGGTCGTCCTCTTCTTTCACTCCCGGCGAAACGTCGCGCTATGCGGGCGGGGCGGGGCGGGGCGGGGCGGGCAGAGCGAGGAAGCAAACTCGTTCGGGAAGTCGTTTCATCCCTTCGCCAGGCTGCTGGGGCAGGAAAAAAAAGATTTGCACTGTGAGCCTTGTTGTCGACACCGGGTCGTGAATCGTGAAATGGCAATCTCGCCAATCTGCAGGAGAGGAACCCGGTGCACGAAGTTTTGCTTAAATTTGGAGACGAGCTGGCTGTAAAGTCCCCATCGCAGAGCAGCCTAGCCTAGCCGCCCCCATCGCACAGCCGCGTCATCCGTTGGCGATAACGAGTCGCTTTCTTTGACTTTCCTTTTCTTGTAGCCTTCCTTTTTTTTTCGTCCTCTGCAGCCTTTCGGCTCGCCGAACTACGGCGCACTGTAGGTTTGCACCGGAGATGAAAGACGGGTGGGAACTTGGACCGGCGCCGCCACGCCACTAGGGCGCTGCCACTGCACTGTTAAAGCCCCGATCCTTTGTCCCGCAGCGGCGGTCCGCCACTCCAGCCACTCCCGGCAGCACTCCGCGCGCCGCTGCGAGCGCTTCGCCTGTACTGCGTGCCGTTCGTAATGTTTTGGTGCGTTTTGCAGGGAGAGCCACGCGGTGGCTAGCCTGCTGTCCAAAGGTCGCGCCGTGTACTCCAACGGCCACTCGTCGCATCCCTGCAGTAAGTCTTTGACTGCCTTCAAATTTGTGTACTGCTCACGGAAAAACAACTAGAGAGTACGGGTGGTCGAATTGGCGCCAAAGTAGGGCTTATTTTGACTCCAAATCAAACAGAATGTGACTAGCCGAGGATCATTTTGGCGTAGACTACCTCTGTTCTCCCTGAGTTCGGTGCTTCGCAGAGTCACTAAATGGGACTCAAACCGAGCGTGTGACCCCACCAATGGATTGCTCTCCAAACGAGGAATCCATTGGTGGGGTCACACGTTCGGTTCGAGCCCTGTTTAGCGACTCTGGAGCCCGAAACGCGTCTAGAGTGTTGGCCGCCTCCACCGGTCTTCTGGCCCACTGTGCAATGTGTGTGTCCCCCTGTTGCAGGCAGGTAGCGGGGGCTGCCGGGCGCGCGAGCACCTCCCCGGCGGAATTTGCTACTGACCCGCGGTCGCCACCTGTCCCGGCAGTTCGGCCCCGGCGCCTCCCTCATGGCCCCCACCGTGGCCGACGTCGTCGCCGGCAGCGAGCCCAGGGTCTCGGACGCCTCGGACGGCGGCGAGGACTTCCGGAGGGACGAGTCTCTGTCCCCGCAGGAGGCGGAGCTGTCCGAGCAGCTGTCCCTGCTGGCGACCCTGGACCGCGAGAGCGAGGTGTGACCCTCGGGCTCGGGTGTGACCCTCGGCTGTGACCCTCGGGTGTGACCCACGGGTGTGACCCATATGGGTCTCGTGGTGTGACTGGTTGTGACTTACTGGCGTGGCCGGGCGCAGCGGCACCCGCGGCTTCGTTTAAGAGCAAAACGTGTGATACTGTAGGCGTGCTTCGCCTAGGCCGAGTTGCAATTTTCTTTTTTCCGCAATTTCGGTTTTAAAAGGCAAGAAAGATGTTACACCGACTCGTAAAGTCGCAATGACGTTTCAAGAAATTTTAAAGAAATAATTGTAAAGTGAATTATGATGGACTCTTTTTCTTGGCCCAAGTGGTTGACAGGGGTCAATTAAATTATTATTTTTGTGGGTTTGAGTCGCCTCCGGGCTTAGCTCTGGAAGCGGCTGGGCTCCGTGCAGCATCTCGTAGTGTACTGGCTCGTGCCGGAGGGGACTGGGAGCAGCGTGGAAGGTTTGGTGTCTTTGGCGGCCGCCGATCGAATTGAAGAAGTACATTTTGGGTTTTGCCGGCGGGGTCATTTTGGACTGTGATTTTTGTCAGGATCTGGATGGAATCTTACATTATTTGTAAACAACTACATGACCAGTATTCTAGAACACATTAGGATTCATGAATTAAGAATTGTATTCGTAAATTGTGAAGTGACACTTTTTTATATGATATTTTTGAGTGTGAATTCATTTACTAAAATTTCATTGATTCTTCCATAAGGTTAATCTGCTAACTATTTAAGATTTTCGCTCTAAAGGCTTTGTACAGCAGTATGCGAACGGAATGGTATTGATTAAGAAATGTCAACATATTTTTCTTCATGTTAGAGTTCGTGTCAGGGCAGAAAGTATGTATGTAAAGCGCCTTTTAAAAAGGTAACTTTAATGTCATTTTTTGTCAAATTTTCGTATTGTAGTGGAACGTTTTGTATGAAAGAGTGACTGGCGATGTCTAAGAAAATACAGGCTGTGCATCATGATATTTAATGTTTATTTCTAAACATCTTCCTAATTTTTGAAACGTAGACATTCCCTACTACGTAGCAGATTATCAAGTCTCTGATATGATACTTCTGATTCTGTCAAAATGAATGATTATCGTAGAGTTCTACGAGGAAGGAACAGACAGTACCTTGGCTTTATAAACTTTACTTTATTGTTTCCTTCAATTTTTTTTTACAAAACTTATTAACAAATGAATAAAAATAAGCCCGAGTTCGTTCTAATTGCCTTCCACCCGTTTCGGGTACCTTGATGTCCTCCAGGGACAATATGCTGTGATTGCAATGCACTTTTCACGACGTAGCAACAGCCCTCTTCTATCATATATATCTCAATACAAGAATAAGAAAATGGACGCACCCTACTGATAGCACATTTTCGGTACTTTTGACTAGACTAGACACTTAAGACGCCATATACACATAGTCAAGCACATAGTTGTTCGTAGTTTTCAACTATGAGAGCACAAAAATTCCTCGGGAAACAAAAATTAACTATGAAAATTGACTAGGATGGAGGTGAGGAGGCCTCCATCGGCACGTGAGTTCCCGCAGTCTGTTTCTTCGAGACCATTCCCGATGTTCAGGACAACTCGGCCACTTCTCCGACCGAGTGGGCCTTGATGTCCGAGGGCGAAGGGGAACAGGGCTCTTGTGGCTTGGAGGACGCACGGCCTGCACCAACAAAAACAACAAAAACAACACTCATTTGAACCGTAGCACTGCGAGAGCGGTACAGCGCTCGTTGGCGGTGTAGGCGAAGCTGGAATGCATTCCAATCAAGGATAATGAATTGCAGCGTTGGTCGCCGCGCGCGTGACATCCAACCATGCTGCTGCCCCTCCCCCCCCCTTACACACACAAAATTGCATGGCGGCTCCACACAGTGTCCACACATGTGGCGTGCCGTGCCAAATCGGGTGAAAGTTTTTGCCAGGCACTTTGTCAAACCTACACAGGCGATTGTGGTGCGCCACGCTCGCGCGCTTCGACAGTTTTGGAGATATGGATTGCCCAAGCCTCCCCTTCCCGCTTTCCGCTGGCCACGCAACTGAGAGGTTCTATCTGGAGGGCCCTCTCCCCTCCCCGACCCCGCGTCCGAAACCATTCGAGTGAGGTCCACGACGTCGCCTCACGCGGACTCGCGCGGACTGTTGGCACAGGCCGCCTGTTTTCACACTGCCGTGGACGGCCCTGCAGCCCCCTGCAGCCCCACAGGGAGGGCTTGAACCCCTCCACGGCCCGGTCGGTGGGCTCTGGGCTCCGAGCCGCTTCGTGCAGGTGGCCGAGCCCTCCGAGTGGGTGCACACCTCTCCGTATCTTCACAGAAATTTTTTTCCAAAGGGGAGGGTGAAAAGCCATGCTTTTTGCCCACCTTCCTGCGCAGTGCTTCGGAACTTGCCTACCCAGGCGCCTGTCGAGCCCCTTGCGCACGCCACTGTGTACAGAAGCCACTGCCACTACGAGCAAGAAGTGCCCTGGCGGCCGGTGGGCCGTCGGCCCGCCGGTAAGCGAGGTGCTCCAAACACAACACCTTGATGGGCGCCGGATTAGGCGGCCTTTCAATACGGGGCGGCCGGGCTGTGGGCACCATGGCCTCCAACGGCCTCACGGGCCTCACGGGCCTCACGGGCCTCACGGGCACCACGGGCACCCCGCCGATCGTCATCCATCAAAGCGAGGGGCGTGATCTGCAGGGGGGCCGTCCGCGACCCCGGGGGAGGGGGGAGGCGTAGGGCCCGGGTCGTCCTGGATCTGCGGGGGAAATGAAAGACAGTGTCTGCCCGACAGGGCCTGACGTCACCAACACTAGCACCCCCCCCCCCCCCCCCCCGCCCCCGCCGCCACCGGGTCCCGACAGGTCCCAGCTGCACTGCGGGGATGCGTGCAGGCCCGGCACACCGCCCGGCACACCGGGCGCTCCGGCCGAGGCTCGGTCCGCCAAGGCCGCCAAGGGCACCCAAAGCGGGACGCTAACGTCACTTTGGTCGCTCCGGAGGCTGCGAGGCGCGCACACTGTGAACCGCGAGCCGAGGGACGGCGTGGCGGCGTCGACGGTCCCACACGTGCTAAACCACCATCGCGCGGAGACGCTTATGCCGCCCCGAACGGCCGACATCATCGCCGCCAAAATTGGCCGAGATCGCCGCGGGGCCGCCGCCACGCGGCCACCGCGTCCCCGAAGTGGAGGCCGAGGCCGAGGGGTCCGGCCGCCAGATCTGGCATGGGCCACTGCATAATTTAGGCCGCGCCTGGAGGCGGGGCTGGAGGCGGGGCTGGAGGTGGGGCTGGAGGCGCAGCCGGACTGCCGGACACGACCTGGCCTAAGTACATTGGAGGCTTAGCACGGATTCCTGCCAAGGGGGAGGGAGGGCTCCATCAATGAGGCCGCCGCTGATGCACGCCGTCGTGCACGTCGCCGTCGAGCGGCCCAGCGGCGTGTGAGGCACTCCGCCGCGCCAACGAGGCCGTCCAGTTCCACTTGGAAATTCCCCCCGCAGCGCCAGGCAGCCGTCCCCGCCCCGGGTGTCATTCTTTATCCCTCGGCCACTGGCCAGCCATGCCAGCCTTTGACATTTGCCCGGGCCCCTAAAGCCGGCGCCGGGCGGTGCCGAAGAGGAGAGAGAGAGAGAGAGAGAGAGAGAGAGAGAGAGAGAGAGAGAGAGAGGGGGAGAGAGAGAGAGAGAGAGAGAGAGGAGAGAGAGAGAAAGAGAGAGAGAGAGAGAGAGAGAGAGAGAGAGAGAGAGAGAGAGAGAAACTCACTACCTGCAGCCAGCACCTCTCGAGTGTAGATGAAAGTCCTAAAGAGAGAGAGGGAAGACCCCTGCCGTGCCCGGCAGGCTCCAGCACGACAGGCAAGGTGGCTGATCCAGTGGTTTCATCGGCCATTGCTCAAAGCGAGGCACACCGTATCATGTTTTTACTTTTATTTTCTCTGCTCCAAAACGAAAAAAGGAAATATTTTAATCTGGGGCCCTTTGTGCTGCCTGGGGGTTGATGGGTGGCAGGACTCGTGCAAGTGTGGCACTCCCTGCGCAGCGCTGCTGGATTCCAGGAATCGTTTTCATCGCTCTGTTCGCTCTGTTTCTCTCGCACTCGCGGTAAAAAAGCCAATCGTTCGGTGGGGCGTGCAGTTCCACCTAGCGCAGCTAGCGCAGCGAGCCCCCCGGGGTGGCGGTGCCGGCGTGGAGCACTCGCTTCGAACTGGGCTTCGGCTTTGACACTGGCAAGGCCATTAAAAACGCACCACGCGGTCGGGTCTTTAGCCGCTTCATTCTGAAGGATCCTCACTCTGTCTCTCTCGCACTCGTAAGGGGCGCCCCATAAGTGCGAGAGAGACAGAGCGATGAAACGATAATCCTTAAGGCAGCAGATCTCGCCGTCAGTCTCCACGCGGATGGCCCCCCAGCAGTCAGGGACGCGGCACGGCGCCAAACAGCCTCTCTCTTCCCCTCCGCCGCCGCCCTTTCACTTTGTCAGAAGGAAATAATTAGGGCGATTCATTGTGGAATGGGGACGCGGCGTGCGGGATTTGGCCGTCCCCAATACGTGAGACGTTTTCGCCCATGTTCCGGCCTCCAGGCCTTCGGGCTCGGGTTCAGGGTTCAGGTGGGCGGGGAGGAGGGTCGGCGGGGAGGGTCGGCGGGGCGCGGAGGGCAGGTGGCGGCGTGAACGTGAGAGGATTGTCGTCGACTTCCCACAGTGCCTCCGCACTGTCTCTCTCGCACCCACGCCTCATGAGTGCGAGAGAGAGGGATCCCTCTGCAGATTTGGGCCGGGCCCGCCGCGTGGCTGCGCGTAGCACGAAGGGGTAATCCTTCCGGCAGCGTTCAGGACGTCCAGGGCGAGCGGGCGGTGGCGGACGGGACGGGACGGGGTGGCCCTGCCGGCGGGGACTGGCGGGGACGCCACCAAACACCACGCGGGGCCACGCAGCCAAACGGGACTGCCGGGAGCTAGACAAAGGACAAACGCAGAGCGAGTGGTGGGTCGCCTACCAAACGCCAGGCGCTTCGTAGCGCTTCGTCGCTCTGTCTCTGTCGCACCTCCGGCGGCATGACGGCGTGCTCCGCGAGTGCGAGAGAGACAGCCACCTGCTCACAGCGATCGGCGGGGGCTCCGCTGTGCATTGCTCCACCCGGCTGTTTTGGTCCATGTTGCTGGGTGTGGGTGTGGGGGAGGGTATGCGGGCACAGGGAGCACACAAGCCCCACACGGTAGCCGCTTGACAAGCCAAGGCTCACTCCGGTCAGGCCTGTCTCTCTCGCACCCTTACGGTCCTCGCCGGAGAGAGACAGAAAGACAGGTATCTCCCGGTTGGAGCCTGCAGTCCGAGAGTCTTTTTCGTCTCTCTCTCTCTCTCTCTCTCTCTCTCTCTCTCTCTCTCTCTCTCTCTCTCTCTCTCGCACTCATGGACGCCCCATAGAGGTGCGAGAGAGACAGAGCGACGACTCCGCACTAATCTCCGAGAGTGTCATTGGGCTTTGGGGAGCACGGCGACGAACAGCTCGTGTTTAACTCCCCGGCGCCTTCTGCGCCGTCTCCCTGGTGGGAACCCGGCGTGGCGATGCAGCGACGCACTGCACCGTAAAGAAGCGTGCATGCGGGCCTCCACCGCAGACTCACATACCACAGACAGCGTCGGATGGAGTCTACCTGTCTCTCTCGCACTCAATAATGAGGACGCCGAGGGAGAGCAGTCAGAATGAACGCAAACACAACAATGACCTCGAAGTGCGTTCCACTTTGACGACAAATGTTTTCCACTTGGGCTGGTAACGGCAGGGTTTTGACCCCGCGGCCGCGTCGTCGATTTCAGGCGGTGCCGTTGAGTAGCTTGCCAACACGGTAATTACCGACCGGACAAAAAAAAAAAATATCAAAGGCATTCTAAGTTTCAAGCCGGGCATGAAGGCCGTCTCTGCGAACAACTTTCCTGCCCATTGTTCGCCTCCAGCGAGGCGGGCCACTCCACTCGTACCGGCCGACCGGTACCGCGAACTTGTTGAATGTTCCCGCAATCGGCAGCACTCGACGCGCCGTGCCCTGTTTTAACGACAAACTGCCTCTTTCTCGGGGGGCAAAATGAGGTAGCGGAGGCTGGCAGGGTGAATTAACAGGCTGCGTGACTAACGAAACGAGAATGCAGTGCAGGGGGACTTAGGCAATAACTGTCGCGCGGTTGTCACGCCACCCCCGACACGAAGCCCCGACCGCTCGGCGCCGAGACGCCTTGCACGACGTCTACATCGCGACGCCTCACATTGCAGGGACCGAATTTCCTCTGCAAGGCCGCCCCACAGTGGGCCAGAAGACCGGCGGAGGCGCCCAGATAGCTAGACGCGTTTTGAGCTCCAGAGTCGCTAAGCAGGACTCGAACTGAACGTGTGACCCCACCAATGGACTCCTCGTTTCGGAGAGCAATCCATTGGTGGGGTCGCACGCTCGGTTTGGGTCCTGTTTAGCGACTCTGGAGCTCAAAACGCGTCCGCGATTTTGGCCGCCGCCACTGGTGTTCCGGCCCACTGTGCGCCCTCTCCTCGGAGACAGCTCTCATTTAGGAGCGAGGCTCACCCTTCACCCAGTGCAGCCGGTCCTTGCGCCTGGGGCTGAGGACGATCATGATGTCGGAGCGGACCCGGACGCGGCCCAGGCTGTGGCTCAGGCCGTGGCCCAGGCCGGGGCCCAGGCGGTACGCCGGGCAGGGCTCCTGCATGCCGGGCTCCTGCCCCAGCGCGGCCAGCTGCGGCACGGCGCCGTTGGGCGGCGAGGAGCACGACGACTGCATGCTGCTGGCCGCCACGGGGCCCTTGCAGGACACCAGCATCCTCAGCGTGCTCGTGAGGTCCTTGTTGAAGGCCAGGTAGATCCAGGGGTTGACGCAGCTGTTGAGGCTGAAGAGCAGCGTCAGGATGGTGTACAGTGTGCTGGACTCTGCAACAGGACGACGAGGCCCTCTCGTTCTTTTTCGCTTCTTCGTTCCCTCGCTTACCTGCCGACGTTAATCATTTCACAAAGTTCGGCCGGCGCTCCGTGCCCGTCCTGCCCGGTCCGAGTTTCGTCAAAGAGAGCAACAAAGGAAGCTGCTCTCATTCTGTCAAGTTGCCCGCAAAGCGTCAATATTATTTTCCCTCGTTTTCCGTCAGGCGGACCGGCTCGGACTGGCGCCGCCCCCGTCCCAACTCCTCATTTTATTTGACGGACACAAAGAATTATATAGGAAGAGCTTCATTGTGTCGCGCGGATATCCAATAAAATTTTTCGACAAAATTTTCATTAGAGACAAAAGTGCAGAGTAAATTTAGAAAAGAAGAAACTGATCGTTTCCCGTGGGCCACAGTCGAAATTGATATCTTTCTGGCAGCTTTTTTCATTACGTATTTATGTTTTCTTACTGTGTATTGAAGGGTCCCTACCATAATTGCTAAGATGAGACTGGCTGTCTTTCCATTTTGTTTGTTTGTTTGTTTGTTTGTTTGCTGTTGTTTGTTCTTCGACAAAGGCTGTCGGCTGAGACACGTAGCGATGCGACGACGGCACCGTCTCCCCGCTGGTATTGGTCGACTTTGTCTGCTCGGAATTCACTACTCACCGCCGTGGCGTGGCGTGGCGTGGCGCGGCGCCCTCCGTTTGCACAGTCTGTCTTCGCGCGAGGGAAATGCCCGCAAAACGACTGGGGAAACTACGCCGGCTCCCTCGAGGGTCCGTCCACAAGTTACGTCACTCCCGCCATAAATTACGCGACAAGGCGGCCGCGGTACCCTCCGTCTCTCTCTCTCTCTCTCTCTCTCTCTCTCTCTAACGCATAATGTCAGCCGGCGGGCCGGAAGACCAGTGCACCCGGCTAAGAACCACTGCAAGCATATGTTCCAAAATCCCAGACACATTTTGAGCTCCAGAGTCTCTAAATGGGACTCGAACCGGACGTGTGACCCCACCAATGGACTGCTCTCCGAACGAGGAATCCATTGGTGGGGTCACACGTTCGATTCTAGTCCTGTTTAGCGACCTGGAGCTCAAATCGCGTCTTGAGTTTCGGCCGCCTCCACCGGTCTTCTGGCCCACTGTAGAAGAGGCTCACCGCTGAGGTAGTCGTCCTCGGCCGGCGAGGTCCAGGCCGACCAGAGCTGCGCGCAGATGAAGGGCCCCGAGCACACGATGTACAGCATGATGACCAGCACCGACTGCTTCACCGTGTTGATCTTGGCGCGCGAGATGAGCGGGTTGGTGCGCGTGGTGGCAGACCGCACCCGCACCGCCACGAAGCTGCCCGTCGTCCTGCCCGGCCTGGCCCTGACGCCCTGCCGCCGCGTCGTGAACCTGCTCAGAAAAAAGGGGGAAAAGTTTGCAATTTTAGACGGCAACTTTTGCTATCCCCACCCCCTCTGGACCCGTCTGTGGACCCTGGCCGTTGTCACTGGCTCTGTCGCGTGTCTGACAAAGACAGAGCGAGGGAACGGTCCTTGTTGGAATCAGCCTGCTAGGCCGGCGGTCAAGCAAAGCAGCGCTCGCCGCCTCGCGCGCAATGTACACAAAGTTCGGCCTGGACGACCTTGGCGACCTTGGTGGCCTCGGCGACGTGTCCACGAGTCGCACCTGTAGGCATAGGCGTGCGCCTGTTGGCACGGCGTGTCCGCCTTGCCCTGCTGGCCGTGCTGGCCGTGCTGGACGTGGCCGCCGTGCACCGGGGTCCTGGCGGGCGCGGCGGGCACGGCGGGGAGGGCCGTCCGGGACGACGCGCAGCGCCAGATCTCGCAGGTGATCCTGGAGTACGTGAAGGACAGCACCAGCAGCGGCACCACGAACACCGAGCACGCGTACCTGTTCAGGCAGAACGACCCAGCGGTCAGTTTGCGTAACCCCCAGCGGGGCCCAGCGGCTAGTTTGGGCGCGCCACGCGCGAGCACACCATCAAACACCGAGTGATAGCGGAGCGGGGCAGTTCGTAATCACACCGCCGCCCTCTCCACTCTTGTGTCAATTTCTAATGCGATCAGTCACCGGCGGGTCACTGTGGATTTCAACTCCAGCGCCACGTGTCAAACTACGTGTGATTGGTTGAAACTTACACAAAAAAATTAATTAAAAATATGAAGCAATGACCGTTTTCTCCGTTATAACAAGTGTGCGTACCCAGGTGCACACACCCACACACCCAATGAAACACAGACGGGTAGTAGTTTTGAGACTACAACACAGGTATTGCTTCGGTGAGTCCGTCCAGCCATGAGAGAAGGGCGCCCTGGGTCCCAGTTTTTTCGGGCCGGGACCCCGCCTGGCCGAGGTTTGAAACCACTTTGCGGCTAAACGGCTCATCGCACAACATTTCTGACTAGCTCAGAAGATTCAGGAAGGTTTTTACGTGCCCCCGGCGTCTTTACATTTTGATTTGGTAAACCCGGGGACCGAACGCGGCGGCCTGAAGGGCGGCAGAGGGCGCGGCCGAGGGTCCGCAGCGGCTGGCTGCCTGATGGCTGGCCGCCGGCCACCCCCACCCTACCGCTACAGGCCAGTAGACACCGATTTCTTGGTTCAAACTTGCGTTAGGTGTGATATTACACGTTTTAGACGAAGACAACGTGTCGTTTTCACCGTTATTTCTTCTTAAAGGCACGAAATATTCACCAAGCGGTAGGTGGGGTGGCCGGCGGCCAGCCATCAGGCAGCCAGCCGCTGCGGACCCTCGGCCGCGCCACACTGCCGCCCTTCGGGCTCGCCGCGTTCGGTCCCCGGTTGACCAAATCGAAATGTAACGACGGCGGGGCACGAAAAAAACCTTCCTGAATCTTCTGAGCTATTCAGAAATGTTGTGCGATGAGCCGTTTAGCCGCAAAGTGGTGCAAACCTCGGCCAGGCGGCGTCCCGGCCCGAAAAAGCTGGGACTCCAGGGCGCCCTTCTCTCATGGTCCCGCGGTCTTGTAAATCATTCATAGTTGTCACATCCGAAACTTCAGCGTCGGTGTCACTGTCTGTCCAAAGTTTCCAAGGGCACATCGAAATCAAAACTTTAGTGTATTCCTGTAATCTGCATCCATCCCCCAACAGTTGACGAGGGGAAGCCTCCTCAGGCAGACTCGATGGTAAATTATAATCGTATACAGTGCCCACGCGTGCGTGCCCCCCCCCCCCCCCGCCACACAAAACACACACGCACACACATCTACACACATATCTACACACATATCTACATACACTCTACTCCACTCACGTACTGACTGGAGGACTGGAGACTTCATTATTATTCGTTATTCACTCTCTGGCATAGTGGTGGGGAAAATGTATGCAGCCCCGCACGACAAGGAGAAGTCAGAGGCAGCCCGCAGCGGGACCGGCAAACAGGCTCGCTTACCTAACGAGAGGGACAACGAGGAGTGGAGGCAAAGAAAGGCCCCGGACAACGCCCGGCCGAGCCCCTCGACGGGGAGGTGGAGTGGAGGCCACGCGAGGAGGAAAGCTTCTCGGAGAGCCGTTTCCCGTACTCGGTGGCAAGGTAACGAGGGGAAAGACCCGGCGACACCTCGCGGCATCATTGCTAACGAAGTTGGCAATTAAAGCCAGGCTCCCTGCAATAGAGACGGGGGGGAGGGGACAGAGTGAGAGGCATCGTCCAAAATCCTGCAGGACCACCCAGCCGACGAAGAGTTATTAAAATGAAACAGCAGGCATTTTCCCCGAGGGGCGGCCCGGGGGGGGGGGGGGGCCACCGCCGGCCCTGCACTGTACGACGGGGGGCGCGGCAGTCCCCCCCCGGCCCCCGGGCCCTCCCGGCTACAGGTGGCTCTCCTCACCCACGCCAAGGGCTCAGGGCGCGCAGGGCTCAGGGCCCCGACAGGACCCCCTGCGGCGCCAACAGAGTGATTCCGCCTGGAAACGCCGTCGGTTCGTCTCTCTCCCACCGACGGGGCGTCTCATGAGTGAAAAAGAAAGGGGGGAAGAAGAGAGAGAGAGAGAGAGAAGAGGAGAGAGAGAGAGGGGAGAGAGGAGAGAGAGAGAGAGAGAGAGAGACAGAGAGAGAGAGAGAGAGAGAGAGAAACCCCCACGGAATCAGTCTGCATGCGACTTCTGGCCAGTACACACTAAATGCTTATGGACTTTATGCCGCTTTATGCCATAACTTGGCCTATTTGTGCATACTGAAGTTATGTACAAATTGTACATAAATTAGGTACAATGTTTTACATACTTAAGCAAAATATGGAAATATTGTTCCTAATTTATGTACAAATTTGTACATATTTTCTGTATGTACAAAAACGGCCATAGCTATGGACAATAAACCCCTAAGACATTTAGTGTGTATGTCCCCCGCGGAGAGGCGAGGACCAGTTCGATCGGCCAAGACGAGGCAGCTGCCCGGCCAGCCCGGCCAGCCCCAGCGTGAGTGCACGAGTCCGTCGCACTGGTTCAAGGGTCTGTCGTTCGTTAGCTGGCTACCACTCGGTTACTACACGGTAAAAACGGTACCTGGTTTTCCCAGGAAGCCTATGGTAGAGACATAGGCGATTTCCAGGGTGTTCCTGGGAAAACCAGGAACCGTTTTTACCGTGTAGTGGCGGTGGGACTCGCTGATGAGTTTGACGAAATCAGGCCCCCTTAGCCTGAAGCCGAGAGCAGCGCTTCTGTTCAATCCACTTCCTTTTTTTCCCACACTCTTAAAACCTTACGAAGTATTTTGAGCATACATATAACAAACTAATATACTTTGTTATACGATGAAATAGTTAGTAAATTACGAAGTATTTTCTTTGTAAGCTTATGTATGCTCAAAATACTTTGTTATACAAACTACTTTTCTTTGTAAGGTCCAAAATAGTTTGTAAGGTTTTCTCAGTGCGGGGAAAGGCTCGTTTTTTGACCAGCTCGATTCAGAGCTGGTAAACTAGGAAAAGGGAAATCCCTTTTGGGGGAATAGCGTGGTGGAGTACAGTAGCTCGATCGGCGCTGTAGAGCACAAACACACACACGGCCCTACACACGCTACAAGCGTTCGACTTTTTCCCCGGCGCGTGCCTTTCTGATCTTTTCAGTGTGTGTGTGTGTGTGTGTATGTGTGTTTGACACGCTCGATGGCCATTCCGGCGTCACAATATGAAGTGTGGGAGGGGCAGGGGCCGTGCAGGAGTGTGGCTGTGTCAGAGCGGCCCGCCCCACCCCACCCCGCCGCGCCCCACCGGACGTCAAACGTGACAGGGCGCGGGCGGAACCTTTGATCCTCATCGCGTCACGCGTCCGTCCGAGCCCAAACACTTTTATTTATCCCCCCCCTTTACCCCTTCCGCGCGGCTGCCTGGCTGGCTGCCTGGCTGCGCCTGTCTTGGTTTCCGGCCTCCCCAGCCTGTCTTTCTACCGCCAGTGAGACTTCCGGGGTACACCGGGAGGGGGCCTACCGTCAGCGCGCGGGCTGACTCCGAGAGTCGCTTTCCTCGCCCTGTCTCTCTCGCACTCAGAGAGAGAGAGAGAGAGAGAGAGAGGGAGAGAGAGAGAGAGAGAGAGGAGAGAGAGAGAGAGAGAGAGAGAGAGAGACGACTGAGAGAGCGGAGAGCGCCTGTGGGCAGCGAGATATGCAACGGGTGCGCAGCGGTGCGTGGCGGGCCTGCCTACCCCGCCGTCGTCGGGCGCTCCGCGTCCGCGCCCCGCGCTCCACACCGCAGCGCCGTGTTGCGTACGACTCGACGCGTCCAGTGACAAACCTCCCGTGCTTCCAGACCAGCCGTGCGAACCGCGGTCTGTCTGTCTGTCTGCCTGTATGTCTGTCTGTCTATCCACCCGCGCCAGCCGCGCGCGCCGCGCACCTGTAGTCTCGGAATGACGTGCTTCGTGCTCCCAGACAGTTATTGGCCCAACTTCTGCCGTAGCCCTAGCCCTGTCGTAGCCCTGCCGCCCCCGAGTTCACCAGAAGGGTTTATTTAGTCGATGCCGGGGCCCGGCCGGGGCCCGGCCGGGCAGCGCAACTCCGAGACAACTTCGTCGACTTCGTCCCCGCCGCCGAACTGCTTCCCCTCCACCCTCTTCCTAACGCCCGGCCCTATGTCCTGCAGCCCCGCGGCAGCCCCGGCAGGCCCTCGCACCGGGACGGGATGGGGTCGTTTGCACTCACCTCATCAAGGACGTGCATGCTAAAACCTCGACGCTGCGAGGCCTCTTGAGCTGCCTCCCCATAGCCTGCCTGCGGGGTGCTCCGGAACGCTCTCGGTCCACGCCGCGTTCAACACTCACGCTCGCAGCCTCGAACGACTCCCCCCCCACCCCAGCCCCCCCCGACACCACCGCACACACACCAAAAGTTCCAAATGCCGCCGCACCGCTCCGCCTTTGTCGCCTAGTTTTGCCGTGCCTTTGCGAGAGCAGTCAGCAAGCAGGCAGGCAGCAGGCAGGCAGGCAGGCAGCCTGGAGCAGCCAAAGGCCACAAAGCTCAGCCACCGGGCGAAAAAAAAACACATTAAATAAAAAATGGCATTTTACATGCGGCCGCACGGCGCACACCGCACAGCAGCGTGGCACTACTGGGAGGCAAGTCCGATTCCGAACAGTTCCTCCAGGCCGCTCTGTCTCTCTCGCACCGCCTGGGGGCGCCCCGCCTGGCCCGGCCTGGCCCCGCGAGTGCGAGAGAGACAGAGCGACCTCCTAATCCGACGGCGTACAAACGAGTCGACGGGCCAGAGGGTGACAGGTTGACTCACCAGGTGACGTACGAGCGCACGCCCCAGTCCGGGTGGAAGTCCGCCCAGCAGTCCGACTCGTCGGGGCCCAGCTGCCTCAGGGAGAAGATGAAGGCCTGCAAACATGACGCGGTCGGTAAGCGTCTCACTTGCTCTCACTTCCACTGCGTCGACCCCTCCAGAGAAAACCAGCCTATCTTTCCTCTCCACACAAAAACTAAAAAAAGTCTCCCGGGTGGCGAGCGAGTTGAGATGGTTTCCCAGCGCTCTGGCGAGTTGAGACGGTTTTCTTGGGAGGGGTCGAAACGTCGCCCGCGGCTCTCGCTGAGCCTGAAGGCATTGCCGGAGGCAACGGCCCCGCAAACTGATTCCGAGAGTCGTTTTCGACGGCCTGTCTCTCTCGCACCCTTAAGGGACGCCCCGTGAGTGCGAGAGAGAGAGAGAGAGAGAGAGAGAGAGAGAGAGAGAGAGAGAGAGAGAGAGAGAGAGAGAGAGAGAGAGAGAGAGGGAGAGAGAGAGAGAGCTGGATGGCCCAGGACGTCCACGCGGTAAACCTCCCCCTCCCCTTCTCATTTTTATCTCTTCTCTCGGCTCTGATCCCCGACAGGGAACTATTACAAGACGCAACTCCCCCGGGGAGATCGCAATTCCGTGGAGCCGAAGTGCCTGGGGGCCGCGGCGGCCACGACGGCCGCGATATGAACAAACATTAAAACTTGTCCCGGTTCCTCCCCTTATATTGCCAGGTCGCGTGGCGCGTGGCCACTGCTGCGGCCGGCGGGCCCGGCCACAACCACGACGAGGCCATCTGAGACTGAGATGGGCGGGCCAGAGGCAGCCAGAGGCGAGGCTCCACCGCACTAACTCACTCTCACGCCACCACACTCTCTCACACACTCCACCGGGGGGGGGAGACAGAAGCACACACAAACATGCACAAAACGCGCCAGGATTTCTGGAACCGCTCCCTTTCGCTGCTCACTCATTCGAACTCTACAGCAGGAGCGATCACTGCTGTGCATCGAGATCGCAAGAGTGTCTCTTTTTATATTCTTTGCCCGTGTAACAACAGCAGCAGCAACAACAATGCGAGCGTTGTCGGCACACATGCTGTATTTGCGAAGTGAAATCCCCCGCCGCCGTCGCTTTTCGCGGCGTAGATGAAGCTCGCGGCGTGCCGCGTTGCCGCCACACTGTGCGATGCCGCCACACTGTGCGATGCCGCGATGCCGCGCGCAGAGAATGGCGGTCCTAACGAGCAGGCTTCGCTTCCAGACGAGAAGAGAATCAAATACGTCAATCTATTTTTTTTTTTTTTTAAGTGAGGTATTGTACTCGACGGTACGCGATTGATTTGTTTTTTGTTCGAGCGAACGATACCCATCTTACAATAAAAGGTGGGGGTCGGTGAAACAGAACAAATCGAATCCTATCTCACACGTCGCTTCCGGACGGCAGCAGACTGATTCCGAGAGTTTCGGTTTCGTCGCTTTGTCTCGCTCGCACTCACGGCGCGTGCCGCAAGGGTGCGAGAGAGACAGAGAGTGGCGGAAACGACTCTCGGTCTGCAGACCGGTGCACTGCAGCTGGCACGCGAGGTCCGCTGCACTGCATGCCGGGTGCAACGCGAACCCGGCCGTAGGCTGTCTGCTATTTTGTGGAAAAATCGACTAAAGAAAAGAAAAATAGTTAAGAGTGTGTTAAGTTACACTGGCTCCTCCCCCGCCATTTCATGCCACCCCGACGGAATATATATTTTTTTAAACTCGTCGCACTCTTTCTGTCTGAGCGCCGGGGCCTCGACCACACTGGAAAAGCGCCGAACGACGACGAATAAGTGAACGCGCTTTGTCCCCGACAGGCCGATGACGACGGCGGCTCTGTCAGTCTCTCTCTCTCTCTCTCTCTCTCCTCTCTCTCTCTCTCTCTCTCTCTTCCAGCCCCCCACGGCGCCCCTCTTTGGCGCTTTTAATAGCCATTCTCTCTTTCCGCTGCAGGTGCCCCGCTGCGCGCCGCGCCATCGCATCGCATCACAGCTCAGCAAAAAGCAACCGCCTCCAAAAAACAAAAACAAAAAGAAGGAAAAGGGATTAAAAGCAAGTGATGAGGGCCGCCGTGCCGCCGCGCCACCGTTAGCGAGCGACAAATGCCGGACATGAAAATGCCCGGGGCGGCCCCGGGGGACGCGTCCCTTTTCCCAGGCCGGGCCGCACGGCGGCAGCAGGGCCTCGGGGGTGGAGACATCGGTCAGACCCACCACTCTCTAAATTCTTTATTTTCATTATTTTTTTCCAAATTAAGAGACGGACCTGCGGCGCCGAGAAGCAGACGGCCACGCCCCAGGCCACGTACACCATCATCTTGGCGCGGCGCGACGACCAGGAGCAGTAGGTGAGCGGGTGGCAGATGGCGCGGTAGCGGTCCAGCGCCGTGGCGGTCAGCACGTAGGAGCTGAGGTACACGCCGAGCGGCTGCCCGAACTTGACCACCTTGCAGAGCACGTTGCCGCCCTGGAACCGGAACGTCACCTGCGGAGGGAGAGAGGCGGAGGTACAGGCTTTACGGTGGTCTGAACACGAAACAACAAAAATAAACGTGAGTGAACGGTGTGCTCGGCGCCGGAACAAGGATCTTTCAAGGCAAGGGGCGGAAGGTTCGCGTAAAGTTAATAACAGGAAGCAGGCCAGGGACAAAATGGGGGCAGGGAAGTCCGAGGAATTCTCTGCTGGACCACAAAATAAACGTTAAAAACGCGCGCCGACGCAGCCACCCACCTTCCAGACGAGCTGCGGCAGCACGCTGAAGAAGGCGGTCACCATGTCGGCCACGCTGAGGTGCAGGATGAAGTAGAACATGCGCGACAGCTTGCGGCGACCGCCACAGCGCCGCCGCGCGTACAGCGCCAGCAGCACCACCGCGTTGCCCAGCACCGTCAGCACCAGCAGCACGCCCAGCACCGCCACCTCCACCTGGAGCAGGCCAAGCAGGCGGGCGTCGTCGCGGAGGATCCGGGGGAATCCGGAACCCCGAGCAGGAAGGCGCCGCGCGAATCAAAAACGCGACGCGTGTCGTCACGTCGCCGCGCGTCTCCTCGTCGGCGTGCTCGGCACGTTGCCGTCGACGCGCTGCGACGCGCACGGAGCCGGCGCAACAAGCCCCGTAACGAGGGCCTCGGCGGAGGCTGCCCAGGCCAAGAAGGGCCTCGTGGCGGCCGAGGCCGAGAGCTGAAGGGCTGGCGGGCTGAAGGGCCTTCAGGCCGCCACCATGCCCACGCCAAATTAGGACGAATGGCACCGCCACGCCACTGCCACGGCACGGCCGAGTGGTAAAGGGTAAAGGGTGGCGGTGTTCCACACGCCGCGGACTCAAGGTAGCCAACGCACAGTGGGCCAGAAGACCGGTGGAGGCGGTCAAAATCCCGGACGCGTTTTGAGCTCCAGAGTCGCTGAATGGGACTGGAACCGAACGTGTGACCCCACCAATGGATTGCTCTCCCAAAGAGGAATCCATTGGTGGGGTCACACGTTCGGTTCGAGCCACATTTAGCGACTTTGCAGCTCAAAACGCGTCAGGAGTTTTGGCCGCCGGTGCCGGTCTTCTGGCCCACTGTGGGACGCTACCACGCAGCCGGACTCAATTTAGCCACCGGCCAGGCTACCGGCAAGAGCTGCTGCTTCTACGACCATTCCAGGTAAATTCGCCCAGCCAGCTCCGCGCTAGCTGGAGGCATGCTGGAGGGCTCGAATGTTCAGAGACATCAAAACTCGCGCCATTCCGCTAGCCTCGCCCCGGCTGCGGGCTTCCCACATTTCTCTCTTGATCAACATTTTTGGACGCGGTCAGGTGGAGAGCTTGGAAGACTCTCCTTTTTCCGATAGCTAGCAGCCATACGCCGTGAAATGAGGTGGCCGCATGCCGCGCGGCACGCGTTCTCGCAAAGGGCCCTGGCCCCGGCCCTGGCCCCGGCCCTGGCCCCGGCGTGGAGGGGGGTCGGGCAGCATTTGCAGCCACCCTGTTAAGTTTGGGTGGTCTGTTCTACAACGACGCTGAGTGATGGAAAATTCCCACAACGTTGCCGCGTATTGAAAAAAATCTGGAAAGTGACATTCTTTTTAAAAAATGATTTTTTTTTAATTTACTGTAAATTTGTTTCAAAACAAAATTCTAGTGCCCTTTTGTTGTAATATTTTAAGTTCCCTTATTTAATGTAAATTATTTCCGCCTTCTAGTCCCGAAATCGCGCCACGGGGCAGTAGTACGAATGCCCCATGCTGACATTTGGAGTGTTGTGTGAATTTTGGAGGACTTACCTTGGCCAGCCGCTCGTCCCTGCCGGGGCCCTGCTGGCGGGGGGGCTGCGGGGGCTGCGGGGGCTGCGGGGGCCAGGAGTCGGGCCACGTCATGTTGTTGTTGTTGTTCATGGTGGCCGCGGCCCGGCTCACATCTGGAGACAGAAGTTAAGCAAGGATCGATCGAAAAAAGGAAAAGATAAGACCGCAGGGAGGGGGAAGGGGGGCATGTTCGTTATTTATCCATGGAGATGGAGACATCGCAACAAGTTCGGCCTCTTCTTCTCCTCGGCGCTGAGCGGCTCAACGGCTCAGCGCGTTAGCTGGAGAGACGGGGACGGTTTAGGGAGCGCCTCTTTCGCGAGAGTTCCGCTACAAAGGACAGCACTCGACGTGCAGCATCTCTCATGACCCGGTGCAGCCGGCGCGGCGGCGCCTGGCAACCTGGAGGCGCCTCGAGACGCCTCTCCAGAGCCGCCATAATCGATACAGCCGCGGGGGCCGTGCAGTCCGGACGACCGGAGTCCGGAGGCCGTCGAGATGAGCGAGGCGACGGAGTCGGGCCCAAGCGGCGAGGCAGATCCCGCTGATGAGATGGGACGCGCGGCAACGCGCGGCACGCGCAGCGGGCTACCGGTGTAGTGGACTCGCCCCTCGGTAACGGCCGGCAGTATTATCGCAGTGGCGCCCCGCGTCGGGCTCGAGTTTGTTTTGAAATCGGACCCATCTCCCATTCATGCCCCGCCTGGCCCCGCCTGGCCCTGCTCGCCTCTATTCGAACAGACTTTCGCGAAGCTTCCGGAGAGCGTTCCGTTTCGTAACGTCCGCCACTCGTTGCGTCCGAGCCAGGGGCGCACAGTGGGCCAGAAGACCGGTGGCGGCGGCCAAAACCCCGGACGCGTTCTGCGCTCCAGAGTCGCTAATTGGGACTCGAACCGAACGTGTGACCCCATCAATGGATTGCTCTCCGAACGAGGCATCCATTGGTGGGGTCACACGCTCGGTTCGAGTCCTGTTTAGCGACTCTGGAGCTCAAAACGCGAACCGAACGTGTGACCCCGGATTGCTCTCCGAACGAGGAATCCATTGGTGGGGTCACACGCTCGGTTCGAGTCCAGTTATTAAGCGGCTCTGGAGCTCAAAGCGTGTCGGGGAGTTTTGGCCGCCGGTGCCGGTCTGGCCCACTGTGGGGCGGCCACGCCAGGCCACGCGCAGCCGCAGCGCGGGAAGGAATATGGAGCAGCGAACAAGCGGAGCTAGCGAGCAAGGGACGAGGGTCCAGGCGGTAGGGTCTTCGCCGCCCATCACGGCATTATGAACGCGCACGCATATTACTGCCATGTTTGCTGTCAGTTGCGGTGAGCGCCCGCCCCCTCCTTTCCGCTGCTTCCGTAGAGCCCGCCAAAAGTTCCCCCTCCCCCTGACAGTGCCTCCTCCCAGAAGTCCTCCCCCCCCCCCTCTCCTCCTCCTCGGACGACGACGCGAAAATTAATTCCTGATCAAACAGTGGCCATAATGGGTTTCGTGACCGCCTTTCCGCTTTGCTGCCAAATTCTTCTTTCTCTCCTTCGGCCCGGAAGGCCGGGGCCGGAAGCAGGCAGTGACCTAGGGCGCGACAGGTGCCCGGAAGCGGAAGCCCGTCCAGACGAGCCGTCCGGCCGGCCCCTTTTCAATAACCACTTCCGCGCCAAAAAGTGGAAAGGAAAGCGGTGCCAGCAGGGCGGCTCTATAAAATTGGCCCTCGGGGTCGTCCCGGAGGCGGAGCGACCGGTCCTTTGTTTTTGTTTTCGCGGTGTCACCGCGGCCGGCAGCTTGACGGGCGCGTGGCTGGAGCGTGGCTGGAGCGTGGCTGGAGCGTGGCTGGAGCGTGGCTGGAGCGTGGCAGTGTCTCATTCAAGTACGCAGTAGTGCCGCAGTGCCACGTGGAGAGCTGCCAGGCTAGCCTGTTAGCGTTACTATTCACAGCCACCGCCCCGCCCCGCCCCGCCCCGCCCCGCCCGTCCCGCCCCGCCCCACCCCGCCCAGTTCTGGTCCTGACGCCAAGCTCCACTACTCAAAAGACTCGAAAGCAGCCACAAGCGAAGGATGGCAAAAATCTGGACGGATTCTGGGTCTCGTTAAGTCAAGATTTATACCTTCAAATCCGCCATTAAAAAAAAGACTTCTTTGCTTTTTGACCCAACCGACTCCAAGCACGGTGATGGACGGACACACAGTGAGAAAAAAGTGAAGGTCGTGGCTCTTACATTTATTTTTCTCAATACAAAAAGAAAATTTGAACAAAAAAAAAGGGTTTTTGTTTTCTGGATCCAAGAAGCTTTTTCATGTACCTGGCACCTTAATGAGCCCCAATGCCGCCCAATGTGGGGCCAGCGACCGCGCTGGACTCGGCTGGAAGAGCCGGACCGGAGTGGGGCCACCTTGGCACAACACGAGGGTCGGCGACCCGCCCCACCCCGCCCCGCGCCCACCCATCACCCTTATAATCACCCCTTCGCCCTCCGACCCCCCGCGGCGGGAATCAAACGTCAAAGTAAATTGTAATTGAAGAGGCCGACCATTGAATCCTGGCGTGAGGTGCGTGCCACGCGGTGCCGCGTGCGCAGTGTCGCCGTGGCCGTGGCTTTGGCCGTGGCTTTGGCCGTGGCCCTGGTGGGCGGGGTGGGCCGGCAGGCACGGGCCTGGCCGGGTGGGTGTGCATCCGAAGAGAGCAGCCTCACTACGAAAAACAATGCACTCCGACAGGCGGGGGGCCTGCACTGGGATAAAGGTACCATTGTCTTTCGGATGCACACGAAAAAACCAAACACGAGAGAAACCCTTAACTCGACGTAGCAAAGACTCGGAAGAGACCACGCCACCTGCCAGCCTTCAACACCTGACGTTGAGGCTTTGCAGCACGCTGAGCCCTGCCGCGCACAGACCTCCGGCCAGGCGCTCTGCCGAACTTGGACGTCTCCGCTGGCGTTTGCGAGTGCTTTGCGAGGGACGTTAGGAGCTTTGCTGCCCCGTTGACGCGCCTCCTCCAGCCCTCGCCGCGCGGACGCCGGCCGAGCTGAAGGCGCTCTTCATTCCGAGTTAGAGAGACTCTACTACAGCGGGAGATCGTTAGGGAGCTTTATTGATGAGACTCGCCTCCGCTGCCGCACAGTTTAGAGAGACCTCCCTTCGCACAGTTTAGAGACCCTCCCGACCGTCAGCTTGGAGAGAAACGCGCCTCTCCAGCTGCCGCACAGTTTAGAGAGACTCTCCTCCGCTGACGCACAGTTTAGAGAGACTCCCTCCGCTGCCGCACAGTTTAGAGAGACTCTCTCTACTGCCGCGCGCCTAGAGAGACTCTGTCAAAGGGAGAGGGCCGACTGGCTTAAGCTGACGATGACACCGTCCAAACCCTGCTGGGGCCATCCCGGGCCAGCACTTTTGGCCCAACCTCTCGGAGAAGCCATTTGACACCCGGACGACATCGCGGACGTCCCGGTGAAAAGGGAGCGGGGTTCTTTTCAAAGCGGCTACTCCGGGCCGAGTTCGGGCCGCGGCATGGAGGGCGAGAGGCGCACAGTGGGCCAGAAGACCGGTGGAGGCGGCCAAAAGTCTAGACGCGTTTTGAGCTCCAGAGTCGCCAAACGAGACTCAAACCGAACGTGTGACCCCACCGATGGATTGCTCTCCGAACAAGCAATCCATTGGTGGGGTCACACGTGCGGTTCGAGTCCCATTTAGCGACTCTGGAGCTCAAAACGCGTCTAGACTTTTGGCCGCCTCCGCCGGGTCTCCTGGCTCTGGCCCACTGTGCGGCGGCAAGGACGGCGAGGCGAGGCACACTCGACGTCCTTTTCCAGTTTTCCACCACTTTGAAGCGGACGACATTAATGAAAGCCCAGAGTACACCTCAGGCGGCGGACCGCGCGCGCGTGTGTGTGTGTGTGTGTGTGTGTGTGTGTGCGAGTGTGCCGTCGTGCCGGCCACCACCATATGAGGCTGCTCAGTGAGGCGGCCCGGCCGGGACCGTCCCTCCTGGCAAACAAATCCCTCAGTTTCTCTTGTTTGCAGTGGCGCTTCGTCCGCCTCGCCGTCTCACTCCCCCCCCCCCCCCCCTCCGCGCCCTGACCTGACCGGTCGTCCCGCGTGCCCTTGCCGCCACCCGCCACCCTGACCGCCACACGGCCGTCTGAAACGGTTCTTGCTTTGTTTGGGGTGTGTTCTCCGGCGATAGTAGCCGCACCCCCTGGGTTGAGAAGGGGCCGGGGCTCACCCAGGGCCCCGCCGGGGCTAGCCAGGGCTCACGAGGGCCGGAGGGGCCGGATGGGAGGCGAGGACAAGGAGGGAATTCGCTAATTTGTGTTTAATGCGCACGGTCTGGCTACACTATGTCACCCCGTGTAGTTGGAAGTGTTTGGGTTTCCGTCTTGTTTTCAATGAAAATGTCTCCCGCCTTCACCGTTCCCATCTTCGCACCCCGCATCTCTGCAGGCGAGAGCCCTAGAGGGGTTGCCTACCAGTGCACAGTGGGCCAGAAGATCGGTGGAGGCGGCCAAAACTCCAGACGCGTTTTCAGCTCCAGAGTCGCTAAACGGGACTCGAACCGAACGTGTGACCCCATCAATGGATTGCCCTCCGAACGAGGAATCCATTGGTGGGGTCACACGCTCGATTCGAGCTCAAAACGCGTCTGGGGTTTTGGCCGCCTCCTCCAGTCTTCCGGCCCACTGTGCGACATCTGGCGGCAAAGTGCAGCGACGCCATTGGGTGTTCGTTATTCAGCGTCGGCCTAATAGCGCGAAGCCTTGGAGCGCGCATTAAAGGGTGGCGCGTAATAAACGCCCAGCGGGATTCTATCAAGCAGTGCCCCCCCCCTCCTTTTTCCTCCCCCGCCGGCCCCGGGGAGCGAAACCCCAACTCTGCGGGAAATGCGATAACACTCCTACGCCCCGCCACGCCTGAAGCGTCCAGCCAGCGCTGCGTTCGGCGTCACGGCCAGTGAGTGCACCGAGTGAATGGGAGCTCCAAGTGCACAGGGCAAGTGCTGAACCGCTAAAGCCACTCTGCCAGCGCCATTGTCACAATGTTTACGCAGAGCGGTCCGCCGCGTTAAAACAAGTCCGATGATGGCGCATGGTAACGAAGGCTGTGCATACATTACCTAGGGGATGTGGTGATGCGATCCGAAGCTCGGTGCGATGCTGTCACACTGGTCAGCGGATGATGCTCGACCCCGAGGAGGGGCACTGTCGTCACTTTCGGGTCATTTGATGCCGACCTGAGGCATGGTGGCGTCAAAAGGCCCCCCTCCTTGAACCTCGAGGCGCTTAATGGTTGTCAGATTAATGACATCCTCGCCCGAAAATGACGTTCTTGCCCACCTTGGGTCATTCTTGAGTGACGCCACTTCATTTCGATGCGGCCTGCAGTGAGCAAAAAGCGGCAGACAAGGCGCCCTGTCGGTGGCTGCAGGCGGATTGCACTTTCTCTCCTTGCGAGCAACTGTCCCTCACTCGACGAAACACCCCCAAACTCGAATCCCTGCTGAAAGGGCACTCGAGGTCCACGAAGTTCTAGTGTGGCGTCCTGCGGCACCACTGTACGACTCAGTCGACTGTTTTACGAGTGATCAGGTCCACCACTGCACGAGGCAGTTCCGCATCGCAGTCGATCTCGCTCACTCCACTCGCACCGCGAGACACTTTGGAGGACCGGTCGGTGTTGCAGTGGGCTGGCGGGTCGCTCCGTGTTGCGTTGCAGGCGTTGCAACACACTGTTTACTGTTTGCACTCCGGCCGTAAACACGAGTCCGGGCGGCAGGCTGGGCGCTGGGCCCTCTGCCGCTGCTGGGCCTTGCCGCGCCACGGCACTGCAAGGGGCGCCCGGCTCGGCTGGCTCGGCTCGCGGCGGCGTGGCGGAAGCAACTGGCAACTGGCCTGCCGCAGGAGCGAGCGGCAACGGCGGGCGGCGGGCCCAACGCAGCGCGCAGCCACCAGGCAGCCACGCGCCACCCCTCGGTCTCGGTCGGCTCGCTCTTGAGGCGGCGCAGCTGCGCAGCTGGCGGCCCGGAGGGGCGTCGGGGGAGGGGTGGCGGGTGGTAAGTGTTTGCCCATATGTGCTGGCGGCGCGCAGAACGAGCAGCGCCTCGTATGAGCATTCCGGCATTCTTTGGCCGCCCTTCGCAACGGGCGCCTCCACCTCCACCGGAGCAGAGCGTTGTAGCTTTTCGAGCCACTGCGCACCCCGCACCCCGCCTCGCTAGGTGCAGCGCACATTGCGTAGGAGCCCCTCTCAGATTTGTACTGCACACTGATAGTTTGAGTGTCGGACTTCAATACAGAAACTGTAGAGTGGTCGGGTACTGAGGTAAAAACGCAAATATAATAATAATAATCGTATTTTCCACTCTTTATTCTGCCATAATTTGTAAGAGCAAAAAATAATATATATTGTATGCTTTGCTCCCATTATACGAGTAATAATGTAGGAAGCTGGATCACATTTTTGAAGCACAAAATCCAACCCATTAGACATAGTAACTCACATTTGAATTCAGTAATTTGTTGGTAATCTCAGTGCTGGGCCAGCTCCCCATAGTGGCCTGGCATATCTTTTCAGTCAAAAGACTTCAGCTTTGAACATTCACCCAATACTGTTCATTTGCATTTCATAACAGTTGACATTTTAAATTTGATTGGTACATGGACTATGGACCACACAAGACAAAAACAAATAAGTAGAACCAGCACCATTTGAAATTATAGCGATGACAGCTGCAAAGGATGGTAGATAACATAAGTAACAGTGTCAGAATACATCACACAAAATAGAATCCTCTCACTAAAACAGAAGTAATTTTAGCTATGCGCTACATCTGAGAAAATAGTTTCTGTGTGATGGGAAAAAAGAAAACAAATAAACTTTGTCAGATATAACATTCATAATCGTTGAGAAATGTTAGAGGAACCCAAATCACAAGGTGTACCAAATAAGTAATTTGTAAACATAGCTTTAATATAATCTTTCTGAAATCGGAGTTACAGGAGTTGAGTTTCATCTTACTCTACCCTGAATACCAAAACAATGCCATTGTACATTGCTTGATCTATAAAATGACAGTCCAATAGAAATATCACTTTCGTTTGAACTTATCTAAGCTGCATAACATGAGACTATTTAAAGTAGCCCTTTAAGACGGGCCTACAGAAAGGAAACAAAATATACATTACGAACACTGGTTTAAGTCTAGTGTCTTGCAATGACCATCCTCTGCGGCAGAAATATTTCACTGCTATGCATCTGGAACAAAAAGAAAAAAGAAAATGAAAGTTTAGTTCAAACACGTAAAACCAAGTGTCCTTCTGTTTTATAATCACACACAAAACTGGAACTGAACTTGACTGTACATATAGAATTCAAATGAAAGTTAGATCTTCAACTTACTGTCCATATTCGTTGTGTTTAATGTGTGTGGGTGTTGCTGTCCAAAGCCGAATCCTGGTGGTGGAGTGGGCGTACTCATTGGTGAACTAGCAGGCCAGTGTGGTCTGGATGATGAAACAATGGCTGGATCTAACGCTGTCCAGTCAGGGCAGTTCCAACTAGAAGCAGCAGCTAACAAAAGACACAAAACAGAATAAGTAACTGAGATAAAGAAATGAATAACAAGAGTCAATGAAATCTCATATTCAATCCAATAGGCACTTACTTTTCTGAGCAGCATAACTATGTGATGGGGCTTGGGGAACACTAGTACCAAGATTTGGTAAAAGAGATCTACAGTTCTCTGGCCATTCTTTAGCACTGGCAAACATAGAATCCAGTGTAGTTTTAGACATACCTGAAGACAAAGTGGAATATGTGAGAAACTGGCTACAGTAAAAATAACTTTACAAATAATCTCATACCAGCCTCCAAAATATCCAAGTTACCTTGATTCAGTATGGAGCCATTCATGAACGGCATATGATTTGTTGGCATACCCTGTGAATTTTGACTTCCATTGCTGCTACTGGCACTGCTGTTATTTGCAGAGCTGCCAACACTGCCCAGACCCATAAACGGTAAAACTTTACTTCCTGCAATATAAAAGACAATATTTGTTTGAGACTTCACAAAAACTAAATTCAAGGCAGATTAGGCTAGTTGGTAATCACATTCGTGAACACTTGCCTAAGTTGCTGCTAGGGTTGCTGCTAGTCGGTGCAGTACGAGGTAAACCCATTCCAAAGGCATTCATGTGGTTAGGTGCAGGGGCAAAACCTGGTGGGGGAGGTCGGCTGCGGGTTGCCATTGAACTATTCATACCTAGACCAAGTCCTTCCAATAGTTTTGTGCAGCTAGGCACCTGTTGCTGAGGTGCCAGTCTGAAGAAAAAGACAATAAATTGTTTAGTATAGTCCCAGAGATAGCTCAGCACAGTAAGTAAGGTGCCAATGATTCATTAAAAACTCACCTATGGTATAAGGGATTGTGTTGTTGGTAGTTGTGTTGCTGATTAAGAGCTGCAAGCTGGGCTTGCTGCATGAGCTGATGGTGGTGTTGATGTTGAAGATAATTATGATTCTGTTGCTGCTGTTGCTGTTTAAGTAACTGTTCCTTTTCCATCATCTCTGCAAGACCCTTCTGTGTCTCATGGAATGGATCAAACCCAAGATCATCGTCTGTGTGTCTTCTTTCACTATGATCACTGTTGTTAAAGTAGTCCTCATGGCTATTATTTAATAATGAGTTTGCAGAACTATGTTGATCAAAGCGAAGGAAAGCCTCCCTTTCTGATGGACCATTGCTGATGTTTTCACGATTAACATCAGCAGATGGAAAGCCAACCTCCGGACCTGCAGAGGTCAGGCTACCCTGTTGCAGACGCAGGGCTTGCTGTTGCTGTAGATGAAGCAAAAAGGATTGATGTTGCTGTTGTTGATGCTGTTGTTGTTGCTGCTGCTGCTGCTGCTGTTGTTGCTGTTGTTGGTGGTGGTGATGCTGCTGCTGCTGGAAAGCATTGTGCATCAACAAACTGGAACTTTCTGGCACTCGCACTGGGCCAAAAGTACTGGACTGGTGAGCGAAGGTCTGCTCATTAGAACCAGGCACTGAATTTGAATTCACTAAATTAACACCGGAATTTTCGAGTTTCTGTTGACCAGCAAGTTCAAGCCAGGCGTGATATTTAGCCAGCATAGCTGCAGCAGATGTTTGTTTGGTTTCTGGTACTGAGCTATTGGATCCAAACCCAAATGCTGCCTGCCAGTCCTCAGACGAATGAACTGGTGGCAAAACATCAGGCATATGCGGAAGGGACACACCATTTGGAGCCCATTCACTATTAGAAACTGGAACAGAAACAAAATATTAATTTGAGTCAGTGATGTGACTAAGACTTACTCAATCTTTCAAAAACCGTGGTCTCACCAGCATTAGGAGTAGACGGATTGACTTTTGTAAAGCCTGCAGAAAAGAAGGAATTGTTGTCAGGTTCCAAAAGAGACGCTGCTCTATGCGAGGCAGAAAGGCGAGCAGGGGAGCTACGACCACCAGGAGAAGATTCTTCTGATGAAGTGGAAACTGGAGCTGGAAGAGAAAACATCAAAATACTGTAACATACAATAATTCAGTAGGTATGGGGATGGGGAACACAAAGGAGGAACTTACTCGAAGATGAGTACAGGGTGTTTTCCAGTTCACCAAAATGATTTTCTGTCAGATGGTTCCTCTGACTTTGGCTAGGTCTTTCAGTCTTTTCTACTCTGTCAGACTTTACCGTCACATCTATTGTGTCTATTCTTTCTTCCACATCACCAAATTGACTGACATTTTCAAAGTGTTGAGACTCAGTTAAATCAGCCTCATCTATATTATCAGTAACATTTGATCTTTCATTTCTGTGATCCTGTTCAGGATCCATATTTCTGTGTTTATCACTTTTATTAGCCCTATCTGATCGGGGAGCTTTAGTACTGCTTGACTGTATTTGATGGGAATTTTGTTTTCGATGAGCATCCTCTTTATCTGTAGTCTGAGCTGAATTTTTGTCTTTTGATTTTCTGAAATAAACAAATTGTAAGTCAACACTATAATACTGGTGTATGACAGAAATAAGAAACAAAATAATTAGTATTTGAAGAATACCCTTTGCCTTCTTCTATGCCTGAATTGATATTATTTTTCTTCTTGTTTTTAGAACTAGTCTGTTGTTTCTTTTGATTGCTGCCCTCGCCTTTGTTATTATTGCTATTTCCATTGCTATTACTGCTGGAGCTACTATTACTGCTGCTGTTAGTGCCATTTGATGTTGATGAAAGAATACTAGGACCAACTGAAAAAGAGCAGCATGTGATACTTTTTTTTCACAACACACAGAAGGAACAGGTGAGTTAGGACTGAATTTACCTGAATTAATTGTTGTGCCTGGTTGTAATGAAGGCCAGGCATCTTTACTCGGTTGTATACTAGGTTGACTGGCAGAACCTACAGCTGTTGGGGGTGATGGCGTAGGTTTTCTGAAACAGGAAAACAATAAAATGTTACATATTATAGAAATAAAGTTGACCATGCAATCACAATGAAAGACAGTGAATTATGCCAACCTATCTTTGTTGTAGGAATTTATCAGTGTTTCGTGTAATTTCTTTTCAAATTCCTGGTGCTTTCCTTGTTGCATTTCTTCCTTGGTAAAGCTGGCATCGGGATCACCTGAAAATTTTTGATGTTGAGGCAAAGTTATAATTATTATTATTGAAACAAAATATATTTTCAACTCCCTCCTCTGGGCACAAGTCCTTACCATGGTCATGAAGATACATGCAGTCTGGCTTCGGACATACTTGATTCTTCATGAAATGTGAACAATATTTTGTTGTTCCTAATGATGTTTTGATGGTGCGTCCATCAACAGGAACATTCTGAACAGCTTGAATAGCACGTAATGCATCATCGGATTTGAAATAAGTTACATAAGCACTGGCACTTGGACCCTACAAAAAAGAAGAGAGTTAATACCTCAGGATAATAGATACAAAGAAGAAAAAGTTGATGAAACTTAAGACAGGTTGATGATATTTATTTACCTGTGAACCTGCATATGTAGTACTTTGATTGATAACAACTTTGTGTATCTTTCCAAACTTTCCAAAATATTCATGCTTTTTCAGAACCTGAGAACAACCTTGTATTACAAAACACCCGTAAGAAAAAATATGTTGAAGAAGGACAAGTCTAACCACCACAAACCTCGGGATCTGCTAATCGTGTTGGTAAACCTACAACAAACACCAAATTCTTTTGGACCACTCTTACATTAGCTAAGTGCTTTCGGTTTTCAGTCACTTTCTGCTTTCGTTGATGATCTTTATGTCGCTTCTCCTGCTTAAGACGCGAAACCTCTTCTTGGCTAAGAGGCTTAAAATCCGCAGGATTTTCTGGATAGGCCTTGCGACATGCAGGGCACAATCCATTTTCATCAGTACGAATTCTATGCCAACAGAACCTACATATCTGTGACACACAAAGAGGATAAATTAACAAGATTTTCTTTCATCATCCATACAGGCAAAACTATCATGTCTTTAATTGGATTTGCTTCAAGTTAGGCACAAACCTGATATCCGCATGTGCAGGGGAAGAAATTGAGATCATCTACCTCCAGAGGTTCCATGCAAAGCGGACATTCCACCGCTTCGTCACCACTCTGATTTAGCACCGATGATTGCATGATTGCTACCTGCAGAAAAATAAAAGTATTAAATATTGAAAACAAAGAAAGAAACCAACAATAAGGTTGATGGCACTCTGAAATTTCCAATAAAAAATTGATCTCTCATAAGGAGTTTTTTCTTAAAAGTTGGAGATATTAAATACATTTTTTAAAACAATATGATAAAGGGAAAAACTATTAAAAACTGACCAAGACACAAGGGTAGAAATCACTAATGGATTTACAAAATAATTCTGTAAGAGGTGTACAGAAAATAGGGCACACAACATAACCTACAAAACATTTTTCAAATGTCAAGTGAAATATGAAGACTTGGTGGAGCAATGACCCAGGATGGAGATCACAATGAGAAAAAGTAAAGGATGGTCATGAAAAGAGCTTTTTTACATAATTTAAGAAAAACAAAGCATCCAAAACCTTGATAACCTAACTGACAAAAGGGCCTTCAAATGGGACAGTTTGATTTAAGGTCTATTGTTTCAATCATATGAAGAGGACACAAAAGTCCAAATATATTCTACTCACAGAAAGGAACATAAAATAGTAAAAACATTTAAGAAAATGGCAAAAAGAGTGACAAATTGTCAGTATGGCCTACAATATTCAATGACCTCAAATCTTGGAAAATTGTCAACAACCAGGAAGGTAGATATGTTGAGCAGGTAAAATAAGTAAGAGATGAAAGACCTTAAAAGTTGCTTAACACATATGAAATTTGTTAAGTGAAGTAATGATCAGGCTGTCAAACTGCCATGTTGGTTGGTTACTCCGAGGCTATAGTCCCACTTTGAATCTAGACTGGCAGAAATATTTGGACTTTCAAAATTTTTGGGAACATCCACGGCACTGACAGTACAAGGCAGGTTATGGTTAGCCTTGCAGTGCACCAGAAAGTAAACGAGTGTAGACGAAAGTTGAGGGTCGGCCAAACAAAGCTCTCTCTCCCATCAGTAAAAGTTTAGTTAGGCCTAACATAAACTTATCCCAAAAAACACGTATTCTTGCCACAATCCACATGTAGAAATGCAAGGCTACAAAACGCACACTTGTCGTCTGTTCAACGTTACTTACGACTCGTAACATCGAAATTTTACACACTTACGGTCGTAATTTCTAGCAGAATCACTACCAGGAAATTTTTAGTTGACGAAATCAGGTTCTTTGCGCATCTGATTGGCGCATAGTTTCTTCAGAAGGGTCAACTGACATACCAAAATATTGTGTTTACAAGATTTCTATGCAAGGTACCTTCAACAGAACAGGCCTCCCAGGAGAGATTTTCGAATAAAAAGATTTGTGGCCCGTCGAACGAACTGAAGTAATTAGAGAAATGATTCTCGATTTTAAGAAAAATTGTATCAGTCTCTCAGTTTACTGAGTTAAGTACGTTCCAGGTGTCTCGGGTATTTCCCATTTATGGTTGGTCGGTCAATACAGGTCATCTCATTTCTATTGAACTTACGTTCCCAATTTTCTTTGTAAGGTGAGTCGCTGCTTGAAACATTTTAAGAAATGATTGCGTAGAAGTTGAGATGTGATCTTTCTTCTAAACAGGGTTCAAATACATTTTTGAGTGACTGTATGTGAGTATGCCATTATTTGCACTCCCCGAGCCTATTCGCAGAGCTTCTGTGAATAAGAAATTCGCCGTTGATGTCAAAAAAGAGTTACTGTGACATGTATGTTTACAAATGCATATTGAAGTTATAAAAATACGTATTTGCAATATTTCTATTTTTATTTGAGCTTTGAAGCTCAACGGACTGACTTTGTCATTCTCACAGGTAGTCATCCTGTATGTTTGTAGAAGTTGTCCTGTTTCCAGAGTGTGTTAGTAACCTGTCAAGGCCCAGATTAAGTAATCCTAAGTTGTTGTTCTAGACCAAAATGCTGCAACCTGACTTGAGCTCGCCAGAACATGAACCCTGTGTCAGTGAGGTGAGCTCCACCATATCTAGACTTCGGCTGCACAGTTCTCAAAACTCTAAAGAGCAAAATGATGACAAAGAATCTTGCTGTAGTACCCTCGTCTCAGAAGCTGCAAGTGAGAGAAATTTAGAGTGCGAGTGAGTAAAATTCACTTAATAATTATTTATTGTCACTGTTCAATGACAATAAACTCCTGCATGTCACCTTTTTTTTTTCATTTTTTGAAGGTTGAGACCTTTCACTATACAGAGATCAGGCATTGACAATGCTTGTTTCCAAATACCTATTATAGGGTATGAAGTAATGGAAGAGAGAGCTCGATTTACAGTATGTGTTTATGTTTTGTTCTCAGTTATCTTTTATTAATTCTGGCAGTAACTTCTCTATTGTTAATGTTGAATATTAATGCTTTTATCAGGTATACAAGTTGCGGATTGACAATAAGAATTATGGTGACTGCTGGTTTGTATTCCGTAGATACACTGACTTTGTACGTCTTCATTCCAAGGTAAGTAAAGAAAGGAAGCATCATTTATGAGTTGCATTAGATTGTCATGTTAAAAATCCAATGCCATGTTTTTGTTTACAGTTGAAACGGGACTTTCCTTCAACTGTTTTGACCCTTCCAAGAAAGCGCTGGTTCGGAGATAACTTCAACTCTTCTTTCCTTGAGGAACGTATTCAAGGACTCCAATCTCTAATCAATTCTATACTGGATAACCCTCACATGAGGGCATCTCAAAGTGTGCGAGAATTCTTTTGCCTTGATGAGCCACCATCATACGCTGATACGGTGGAAGAATCCAGAGTAATGCAACTGCAACTAGGCACACAGCCTTATGACTATTCTCTCACGTCATTTCACCTTGTAGTAATTCTGGCCCTTTGCTTTACATTACAGCCAATTTTTGACGCATTAGAAGAGACAATCTATCATCTGCGATGCCAGCTACGAGATAAAGAATGGGAGCTTAGACAGATGCAAAAGAAGATGGATTCATTCTCTCAGCTTAAGTAAGTTGTTGACCAAAATTTCAAGTTTTTATTTCGATTTGGTTCTCTGTTTTTTTTACTTCATTATTTTTTTAAATTTTTTTTTTCAGGAATTCTTCAAAACTTTGTGCACAGTGTAAACCAGAAGTTCAGAAGTGTCTGTTTATTAGTGAACAGGATCTGACAGCATCTGTGAAATCATCAGGGCCATTAGTCTGAAGTGTCTTTCGCCAGATAAGAATTAATTGGGTTCACTATCCGTCAACATATTGATCATGACGGTCTCTGAACTAGATGTGATATGAAAGAGTGTTCTATTGATAAAATGTTTTGTTTCATCAAAATTTAATGATATTATTCTTCAAGCATACTTTTTAGTTTGCATACCAATGTCTACTTTCTAGTTTGTTTAGTTTTTGGAGCTGTTTTGTGTGCCTATTATCTCGGTGCTGAAAATCTCATGGCCTGAGCAGGTTCTTTTTTTCTTGTCTACCTTTCCTCTCTATGAATTTTCCTTGTATGGGAAGCAACCCTCATTTTGTGATCCTTATTCCTTCCATTGTCTTGAGTAATGAAAATAATGTTTGAGACAATAATTTTAATGTGACTTTTCACATACAGGGTACAAAACAAGCATTTCTGGGAATTTTGAAGTTTTGTCTGAAATTTTTGTTTGAAATTTAAAGTGTTTATACTGTACTTTGATTTTGACTGAGGTAAAGATGTTAGTTTATGAGTGTTAGTTTTATACATTTTTATTGATGTTATTTAGTTATACATATTGCAACTCCTGTATATCAAATGTATCTGCATTATCACTCTTGGTGCCTTATCCTAATGTTCTGTTTTCCTTATTCCAATTTACTTCCCAAGAGGAAGTTCATGTGATCTAACTGAGTGATGACATGTAGGTATTTTATAGAATTGTTTACTGAATTAAGCCAAACCAATGGGTCAGATTCTTTCAGGTCTTTCAGACCTAATAAAGTCATGTGAGTTTAAATCTTGTTTTGGTTTTGTCATCAGTGAATGTCCACCAACTTGATAAAATGGGTATGCTCTGGAAGGTAGGGAACAGAAGGTAAAAAACACAGTCCAAAGTTTGTTAAAACTTATTTATTTGTCGCTGCTATAATAAGAAAAAAGACAAATGTGACAGTTTTTCTTTTCTTTCAAAAGCAGACAAATAGGGGGAGATTATCTTGGAAGAAGTCTTAGTGACAATGGCATCGCAATTGGCTGACAGAACATAGTGATGAGGGTAATGATGATGACGGTTAACTAAAACATTTACATCTGCAATAAGTTTAAAGTCTTAATGTTATTCATATTTACAATTTTACATGCTTGTGGTGAATCACTCTCTAGTGAGGAAACAGTTCATTTGTCACCTAAAATAATGATTAATGTGATCTTATCACTATCAACAGTCTCTGATTCACTCAAGATTTACACATACAAAATCTTTCAAAAATTATCACACACACTTTACATAATAAACAAATACATACAGTACATCTAAGGGGCGGAATGTCTGATAAGTAGAGAGGGAGGAGCTGCGTTCTGCAGTCAATTCTCCAAATATAGGTATAACTTATTGTAAATTTGTATTACAAATAAAATAGTAAAAATATGAGCACAGCACATTTACAAACTACATCAAAAGGTAACAATTGAACATGGAATCCACCACCTTGAGGATGATTAACAGATGCTGAAGAATAGATAGTTACAATACTTTATACAATGCCTTATTTATAAATTCATAATAAATTTACAATATCCTAGGATTGGAATCCATGTACCCTAATAATTCATAATAGCAGCATCTTAAAATTCGTCTGTTGACAGAACTTGGAATGGTCCCATGATAAAATTCAATGGAAAGGTTAAAATTCTGTAGCTGTTACAGTCTAGCTGATAGTAAATATTCATACCACGTACTATCTTCATCAACAGCCTAGTCTGACAAATACACTGCAAAGCAATGTATTAGTGACTAGCAACTACTTAATTTAACTATACACTACCAAGATGCCCTTACTGGGGAGGGCAACAAAATAATGGTCATTGGGTTTAAAATTTTCATTGATTAAGGTATAAAATCAACAGTGCAAAACATTCACAGTTAAAATCTGACACTGTGACCAGCACAGTAGAGCAGTCAGGAAACAAATATTGCTAATTTTTAAAACAAAGATAGAAAGATAACAAAATTATGATAAAGGCAGGAGAAAAGGTGCAGTTCTGTTTGCAGTCTTAGAAAAACATACATTCCTAGGAGAGCAAGATAGTTACCAAAACATGAAAATAAAATAAATTTGGTCCACCATAGTCAAAAGTTTGGCACAAGGAACTTAACAAGTGACATCTTAGTCAAGTCGAATGACTCCAAAATGAGCTCGGAGTAACTGCCCTGTTCTCCTTGGGTCCCACATTGCTACTTCAATGATTAAACTAATTCAAGCATTTAAATCACAATGGACAATGAATTTCCTCATTCATTACATTTCAGAGATGACTATTAACACTGAAAACATAAGAACTATCAACACATTGCTTTACATTATGTTGAGCACATTAACATACATGCGATCGCATCAAAAACACAAAGCTGACTTGGCATCTGATATTTAATTTACAAAGAGATCACCTTCTAACATTAAAACTCGTTTTTCTCTTAAAGCTGCCAACTGTGCGTTCAATCCAAAATCTAACATTGGAAATAGAGCTAAATACTGATGGATGATGACCTCTGCCACAGTTGCTGTGATAGCTGAGCACCCCTTGAAGTTCCCACACGCTATTCTCATTGGAGCACATCAATGGGCTGCCTTCGTCGTTCTAGAAGAATGAAAAATAAAATTCAAGCTTGTGTTACAAAGAAATCTGGATGAAAGTAAAATAAAAGATTCAAAAGATATCTTTCAAGACTTACGTAACATGGGGACTTCTCAGTATCAGTGAACCCTGCGCATATACTGTCCTTTGAAATCTTTCCAGCATAGTGCTTTGTTGAATTGCATACACTCACATCCATCAATGGGACTGGCAAATAATATTGACTAAAATTGGTCTCTGCAAAAAAAGTAACGATTGTAATTTTTTTTTCAGTTCCTTAATGTGGAAAAGAAAATCAATTTCACTACTTACCTCCTGGATTGGAGAATCCCCATCCAGCTGTCACACAAATTTGTTCTGGCTCTACTTCCTTCTCTGGGAGACAAATTGCTCCAACCTTGTTTGTCAATTGGAGAGGATTTTGCAACTCAACTAGAGCAATATCGTGTGTGTAAAGCAACTGATTATACTTGACTTGGGGGTATGGCACTATAGAGTGTACACTGCGCATCTGAGTGTCCATATTTTTATCAAACATTGATCCTCCTGCGTAGGCAATCCAATCCTTATTTGATAAGGTCTTATCTCTGTGGAGCAAAAATAAATTGCATGAGTACTTTCAGTTGTTGCAAAGAATAAAACTATTTTTGGTTCAAACTGAGGGCCTTACTTCGTGTGCAGACAGTTGTACGATGCCAGCAGCCAGCGAGGACTAATGATGCTGGCAGTGCAGCTACTTTTAACACGACTGTTGTAAAGGATAGCGACCCATGGTTGGGAGCCGCTAGCAGCTCCATCCCCACCAGCCAGACGCCCAGCAATACTCTCTGCAGATGGGCTATGAGTTCCACATGCTGCAAGGACAACAACAAAAAAATTTTATTGCAAGATAGTGTTTGTTTATGGGTGTTACACAGCCATAATATGGCCTATTAGAAATATCAGCAAGGAAAATCACACTTACTAAACTCTTGGCATTGAAGTTCAACAGCACCCTCAGCACATCCCTCCTTAGTACTTTTCAACATGCTATGAAGACGATGACCATCAGCAGTTGCGACATTGAGGGTAGCATCATCTTTCAGGCTCATAAAATTGCTGCTATTTGAAGCTTGGAACTCTGTTGATGCAGATTGACTGAAGCCCAAACTTTGGCAAGCCATATCACTCCACTTTGAGTCCCAGTGGTTTCCGCAAACAGGTGACCATTCATCGTCAGCATTCCTGTTGAAACAGTTTCATTTTAGAAGATAAAATTGAATGGTGCATAAAACTGTGCACATAATAAATGTAGGTTGATCAAACCTAATTTGAAGATAAGATGTTTCATTGTCAAGACGAATACAGTTCCACTCATCACTCAAGTCGGGGCAGTGATCGACTCCATCACAGACTTCCGCTTTGGATATACATCCTCCAGTATGGCACTTGAACTGGTCCAGGGCACAATCTAAATAAACAAAATATATGTGGTTATCAATTTAAAATAATAAATTACAATTTATTGGCATCGGATCAAAGAGGGAGGTCATACCGCAGAGAAGTTCATCTTCTCCATTCGCACAGTCTGACATCCCATCACAACGCTGAGTAAGTTGTATGCACCATCCCTCAGGGCAGTGGAACTCGTCATTACCACATGAGTCTGGAAAACATAAAATAAAATAGTGAAAGCCGCCTCAATCAAAGGTATGCAGCAGCTATTCTTTCGTTGAAAGGATACTTTACCTTGGCAGTTTCGTTCATCCATATGATCATCACAGTCCGGCTTGCCATCACACTGTGAGAGCACAGGGATGCAGCGCTTTGAGGGGCACTGGAACTCATCGAACTGACATTGCCAGTTTTCTGAAACAAACAAGTTGATTTGAATAAATGAATGAATTCAAATGGTCTGTTCAAGATTTTAGTGGAAGGAAGGAGCTTAACTTACCACAGCCCATTTCATCACTTCCATCATTGCAGTCCACAATACCATTGCAAACAAGGTGCCTCTTCAGGCATTGATTGTTGGAGCACTGGAAGAAAATAAGCACATGTTCCATTTAACCAAAAGCTCCCCGAAGGCAGTCTTCATTGCAGTCAGCAGCCACGGTGAAGGAAAAGTTACCTGGAAGTTACCGGGGCATCCCTCCTCGATGCATTTGGCCTCGTCTGAGCCATCCGAGCAGTCGTTGACGGAGTCGCACTTCGACGAAAGAGGGACGCAGTATGCACCCTCGCGGGAAGTGCCGTTGGTGCATTGGAATTGCCCTGAGTAAACCACACAGTTTCAAACGGGTTACAAAAAAAATCGACAAAACTCTCAAAAATAAAATAAAATTCAACGTGGACGTACCGGCAGCGCACTTGGAGAAGATGGCGTGGGGGAAGGCCGGTGCGCCAGACGCGGTGGTCTCGGACGGCGTGGTCTCGGACACGAGGGCGGAGGTGACGGGAGCCTCGGGGGACGCGGACGTGGAGGCCTCCACCGCGGGGCTCGGCGTCGGCGTCACCTCCACGACGGTGGTGGTCTCCATATCCGTGTCGCTGACGACAACCACGGGCACGTTCATGGGGTTGGACTCGTTGGTGTCCAGGGTCTCGGCGGGCGAGGACGGCGACGAAGCTACCTCTGCAGACGCAGATTCTGGAAAGGAGGGAAAGAGCGTGTTGAAATAATGGAACGACAGTTCGAGTGACTCTTGTCGGCCGGGGTCTCACGCGCTTACCTGGAGTGGTTTCTGCCTTGGGCGATTCCGTGGCTGTCTCTGCCTCCGCCGCTGGCGCCGACCTGGGCGTCGTGGCGTCGGCGTCGTCGCTGGAGGCGGACGTCGATGCCTCAGCCACCGCGCCAGCCTTGGCAGCGTCGTTGAGGTACTTCTTGGAGTACTCCTTGTCCAGCTTCTGCTTGAGCGAAGCCTTGTCGTCCTTGTCCAGGGCGATCAGCTGGTCCGCCTCGTCGCCGGCCAGGTCGTTGTTGGCCGTCTTGCTGTCCTCGGCGCTCGCCCCCAGCCCGTTGTCGTTGTTCTTGTCGATGTCGTTCTGCTCGGACGGCACGGACGCAGCCGACGACACTTCGGGCACGACGGTGGCGTCCTCGGAGGCCGCCGACGACGGCGCCGCGGTGCTAGTGGTCGCTGGGGTCGTGGCGGCGTCCTTGGGCCCCACGGCGCTGGCGGTGGTGACGTCGGTGACGGCATCCTCGTTGGGGTTCATCTCGAGGGGGTTCACCTTGTGCATTTCATCGTTGTCCAGCCTGGGGGGCTGGGTGTTGGCCTCCGCATCGGCTGGCGCCGCCACAGTGGCAGTGTCCTTGTCGGCGGCCTTGACGGCGGCGTCCAGGGGCGCGTCAGTCGCAGCCGGCTCCGGCAAGACGGTGGTGGTCGGGGCTCCGGTCTGGCTAGCGGCCGACACCAGGACGGCGGACTGGTCCGTCAGGTCGGCGAAGTCCGCCACCAGGGCCGCGTCGTCGCCGCGGTGGCTGCGGCCCTCCGACATGCCGACCATCTCCATGAGCGCCGCGTTGTCCAGGTCAGCGAGGGGGCGAGGCGACGAGGCCGTCGCAGGCGTCACGGAGGGCGCGGCGGAGGGCTCGGCGGATGGCTCGGCAGATGGCTCTGGCGCGGGTTCTGCAGAGGGCTCGGCGGCAGGCTCGGGCGATGGTTCTGCTGCTGGTTCAGGCGATGGCTCTGCGGCTGGTTCGGGGGTAGGTTCAGCAGCAGGCTCGGGGCTAGGTTCAGCAGCAGGCTCGGGGCTAGGTTCAGCAGCAGGTTCAGCAGATGGCTCAGGAGAAGGCGTTGGCTCCGCGGCGGGTGCAGGCTCAGCGGATGGCTCCGGGGCGGGCTCTGCGGAGGGTTTCGGGGACGGTTCGGCTGGGGGCTCAGGAGCAGGTTCAGCGGAAGGTTCGGGTGACGGTTCGGCCGCGGGTTCAGGAGCAGGCTCTGCAGAGGGCTCGGGCGATGGTTCAGCAGCGGGTTTAGGAGCTGGTTCAGGAGCAGGCTCTGCAGAAGGCTCGGGCGATGGTTCGGCTGCGGGCTCAGGAGATGGCTCCGCGGAGGGCTCGGGTGAAGGCTCCGCGGAGGGCTCAGGGGTGGGTTCAGCCGCAGGCTCAACCGACAGGCGAGCCGATTGGTCCTCCGACTTGACCTTCTCCGAGGCAACGAGTTCCGCTGCTGGTTCAGCAGACGGCTCTGGCGATGGCTCTGCGGCGGGCTCGGGAGACGGTTCGGCAGATGGTTCTGGTGCCGGCTCGGCCGATGGTGCGGGAGACGGCTCAGCGGCTGGCTCAGGGGCAGGCTCGGCCGAAGGTTCGGGAGAGGGCTCCGCGGCCGGTTCAGGGGCCGGCTCGGCAGATGGTTCCGGTGCGGGTTCAGCAGCAGGCTCGCGGGCTGGCTCTGCGGACGGTTCGGGCGCTGGTTCAGCGGCGGGCTCGGGGGATGGCTCAGCAGATGGCTCTGGCGCGGGCTCCGCCGACGGTTCGGGAGCAGGCTCAGGGTTGGGCTCGGCGGACGGCTCTGGTTCCGCCTTGGCGTCCACGTCGTGATGGTGGTGGTGGTGGTCATGGTGGTCGTGGTCATGGTGGCCGTGGTCCTGGGTAGATGGAGCTGGTTCGGGAGATTCACCTGTTAGGCAGAGGGCATGGGTTAGTGAAAGGGCCCTCACAGTGGCGTGGGCGGTGTTGCCTGCCGCACGTACCGGCTGCAGACACGCAGTTGTAGCCCGCCGCGTCGAGGGCCCAGCCCTCCGGACACGAGCACATGTTGGTCAGCAGCTCCCTGTCGAACCTGCACTCGTGCGAGCAGTCGCCGTTGTTCATCTGGCACTTGTCGATCAGGTCTAAAGACAGAGGATGAGCGGTTAGGGCACGAAAAGCAACAACGACGACAAGAGTGTGGGACGAGAGACTTGCCGTTGGCCTTGATGGAGTCCACGGGCATCTGGTAGGTGTAGACGTAGCCGCCGTGGCTGCGGATGTACATCTGCAGGCGGTCGCGCACCTCCTGCTTGTTGATGGGGGCGGCCTCCTGCTGCACGCCCTGCACCCCCGACTTCCAGTCCCAGGCCACGCGGAACTTGGCCACCACACTGCCGGGGCTGGAACGGGGAGGAAAATGTTAGAAGATAAAGCCAAAGAATGTTATTTCATGCCTGCGCGTCGACTCCTATGCGCGTGTACGTACCTGAAGTCCATGACCTTGATGGTGACGTCAGCGGCGCCGTACTTGAGGGTCTCGGGGCTGAACATGATGTCTTTCAACTAGACGGGAAGAAACAGCGAGATGATAATCACTTGACCGCTTGGAACATGGCGACGTGTTTCTTGCAAACCCTGCCGCGGCTTCGTATACTCACCTCCGCTTCGAGGCTGGTCGCAAGCTCCTGGAACTTGGCCGAGCTCTTGTTCCGTAGGTCGGGCGAGAAGTCCATGTTGAGGATGGTCAGCTGGCCGTCAACCACCCGCGGAACTGCCGGACAAGACAAAATCACAGGTCAGCGCGGGTAGACAAGAAGAAATGGGGATTGATTTATGTTTGGTGTTTGTGCTTACCGTACAGCCGCGAGGTGTCCGTGGTGGGCGGGTCGGGCAGGGCGGTGCTGGACGGCGGCGGCGAGGCGGAGGACGGCCCGGGGCTGGACGCGCCGTGCTGGCTGCTGAGCGCGCGCCCGGACACGTCCACCTGCTTGGCACTTCCCTGGGAGAAGAAGCCCGCTGCACGACGGCAACGCCCTCGGTTAGTGCCACCCACACTATCGGGAGAAGAAGAAGACCATGAAAGACTACTCACTGGCGGCGAGGACGATGAGGAGCAGGGCCAGGCCCAGGAACATGAGGCCCACGACCCAGCACAGGCAGCGCCGGCCGTTAGGGACGTCGCGCTTGTCCTTCGTCACGTACAGCTTCTCGCCCCTGAAACGGAAAACGAGGACAACGTTACCGATGCACTCACACACACACGCGCACACACACAACGGAGCGCAGCCCCGCATACATGCATTGCATGGCGGTGCCGGGCCTCCACTGGGACTGGGACCCCGACGCGGTCACCGTGGCGGCGCCCCGGAGTCAATGGGGCATCGGGGGGGCCGGCCTGCCAACGGCCTACAGTGTGGCCCGATGGCCCGACCCACTGCGCTCCTTGCGCCGGGGCCGCACGCTCCGATGGGCCCCGTCGTGGACCCCGTGGACCTCACGTGTGAAATTTAGTGCCACCCACCCGGCCCGGCCGGTGTCCGCGACCTGCCGTGCCGCGCCGCGCCGCGCCGCGCCCTGCCTACGCGACGGTCTGGTGTTCCGGCCCGCCTCGCCGCGGGTAACGGCACGGCACGGCGCGAGCGTCGCACTCGTAACTTTCCTCGGCGTGGCTCGGTCACGACACCCGTGTCGGTTATAACTACTATCGGCAGCGTTATTTGTTTATTATTATTTATAAACCGCGGCCGGCGCCACAGCCGTTGCCCGGGGGCGGAGAGGAGGGCCTCGCGGAGGGCGGGGCGGGGCGGGGCGCTAACGGGCTGCTGCCTTCCAAGTGGCCACGGACACACTGTAAGTTCAGAAGGGCTTTCTTTCTGGCGGACACTCGTCCGGAACTGGAGGCTACTTGGCGGCACGTTGCGTTCAAGAACTCGCTAGGCGGTCGCGTAGCGCGCCTTGCAGGGGCTGCAGGGGCGGGGTAGGCACGCCCGCCACTCTGGCGCGTGGAGCGGGCGGCCCAGCATGCCGGGCGCTCTCGCCCAAGGACTCCAAGGACGCACCCATGCACTCACCGACGGCACGGACTCGCGGCGGTCCAAAACGGTGGACGCCTGCGAACTTGGCCGAGCCGACTTGAACCCAAGCCAAACAGAGAGAGAGAAGTAGACTGGTGTAATCCAGCCTCGTTACCATAGCGAGCGTAAACCCCACCGGACGCTCAACCGCTCGCCACGGCGCGGTGTAACCCAACCCCAGCCTCAGCAGACTGATCCCGAGAGCCGTTTTCGTCGCTCTGTCTCTCTCGCTCCTATACTGGACGCACCATGAGTGCGAGAGAGACAGAGCGGCGGACAGACTGGAGGTCCAGACTGGAGCATCAATTCTCGCGCCGTCCGGCTTTCAGCCCGCGGTAATTTCTTTTCGTTACAAAAGAGAGAAACAAAACAAAAAACGATCTGAGTCATAACGAAGGCGCCGAAAACGAAATGATTTGGTCGCCGAGAAAGGCGGAGTCGGCGTGGGCAGCGCGGCGCGGCGCGACGTCCGCGGAGACGAAGACGACGGCCGGCAGGAGGGGCATGGATTCCGGACGAGTCATCGCACCCGTCAGCCTCTCTGGAAAATTTTGGCGCACCGCTTGAAAAAAAAATTACAACTTGGGGCGGAAAAAATAAAAATGAAATTGAGAATAAATGAGGAGGGAAACATGATTATTCTTTTGCGCGGCGGCCAAGCTGGCTAGACCCTTATCCACGGCATGCATGCGCCGTGTGTCCACATTAACGACGGCCACCTCGGCACGGCACGGCACGGCGCGGCACGGCCCAAACCGAGCTGGCCCACCGCCTCTAACGCCTCTAACGAGCTGGAAAGCTCTCCAGCCCGCTCCAGCCCGCGCTCCAGCCATTCCGGGCAGATCAAATTAGCACTCTAAAGCGGAGCAGCGCCGTTTCGCCTTTTCGCAAACGAGTCGCCGCGGTGGACCCTGGAGGCCCTGGAGGCCCTGGAGGCCCTGGAGGCCCTACAGGGCTCGGCCATCACCTGGGGCACCGCGGGGCCCGCACTAATTGCGGAACGGCAATTTCGTGGATTTGTTCACCTAAACCTTGGCCGCGCAGCAGTAACACACGCATATGACAGGGCCCGACCGCCCGCTGCTGTCTCTCTCGCACCCGCAGGGGACGCCCCACGAGTGCGAGAGAGACAGAGCGACCGCTGCGAGGCGCCGAAAGTCCACCCGCGCACTCGCTCGAGCACTCGCTCTCCTCGCCGGCCGCTTGGCCAACGGGCGACCCCACACAAGGGCAGCGGGGCAGCCTTCCCAGGCGTGCACAAAAAAAGAAAGAGAGAGAGCGGGTTTTGATCCGATTGATTAGCGTTGGCTGGATTGTATCGCTGCATCGCATTGGCTGAGGCATTGGCTGACCGGTCGGCGTACTCAAGGACGATCCCCCGCCGCGCCGCCGGTGATATCGGAACGAACGCGTATGTGTGTCGAGGACGGCCGAGGACGGGACGGGGCACAGAGGCTGCGACAGGCCGTCAGGTGTGACACAGCGTGACTCCGTGTCACACTGTGTCACGCGGCGGACACGGGGCACCCACGACGGGGAGGACGCAGCCAGAGCGAGCCAGAGCCACTGTAGGATCGCACCCAAACACACGAAGCGCGCGCATTCGAACCGCCAATGTAACAATAACTCCTGCTAGTAAAGCGTCAGTGTGTGCGCGTATGTGTGTGTGTGCTGGCAATGAAACTGCCGCCTTTCATAGCGACTCGACTCCGGCGCAGGGATCAGGGCCAGGCGAGGCTCCGGGCGCACCGCCCCACCTAAGCTGGCCGATGGAGCGCGGAGAATTGGCGTCAACTTGGCTCGCGCCCGCCCCGCCCCGCCCCGCCCCGGCGGCAGGCCGCTACAGCTCCTCCAGATCGCTAACCTAATCCGGGCTGGGCCGCGATTTCGGTGCGCGGCGCGGCGTGGCGGCGTGGCCGCCGTGGACGAGACCGGTATCGGAACATCGGGACATCCGAACCGGGACGGCGACCTGGTCCATTCACACGGCGCCGCGGCAGCCGCGCCAGCCGCGCTAGCAGTGGAGCGGCGCGACCTTTCCGTCACGGCTTTGCGCTCTGCGTACGAGCGGCGGCACCGGCCGCAAACACGTGGTTGTCACGGTGGCCGCGTGGTTTAAGGCGCTGCGTTTCGGGGCGCGGATTTCGGGTTCGATTACCCGTCGGACCAGCCGCGTTTTTTTCCTCTCGCGTTGCGGCGGCGGGGCGTTTATCGCTGCTCATCGGCGGCAAGGTGGTAGGAAACGCGAAGGGCGCCGCGGCGGCAGAGACAGCCAGACAGCATTCCAGTGGCGTGGAGCAAGCAGGCGAAGCCTTTGTTACTTCGTTCGCCTCATCGGCCGCGGGGCCGCGGGGCCGCAGGGACTCCCGACGAGCGGCACTCTTACTTTCGCCCAACACACGCGTGGCGCGCCGCGCTGCAATGCCCTGCGCCGCCAGGGACGCAGGGACGCGGCTTGGCCTCGGGGAGCATGACCTGCCGGCAGAGCGGCGGCCATCGGGCGAGCAGGGTCATGACGGTGCGCGTCCAGCGCCAGGAAGACAGGAACGAGAGGACGGCGTCGGTGTCGCCGTGCCGCGCCGCGCCCTGCCCTGACTCGTCACGCCGGCCTGACCCACCCCACGCCACCCGCTGCGCGCTGCGCGCTCGACGCTCCACGATCCGCGCGGCGCTTGACGGCGTCCACGGCCTCCTCGACGGCGACCCCGTTCGCGGATGACTGGCCGCTCCCCGGGGCGAGGCCGCGAGGCCGCCGCACGCGCCGCCGCGGGCCGCGGGGGGCCGCGACCCTGGCCTGCATGGCCTGCATGACCTGCGCGCGGCGCGGCGCCGCGGCCTCCCCGGCGACTGGGCGGAAGACCGCGGAAGACGCTGCGGGCTGGGGGCGCTACTCCGGTACTTCCAGCCCGCCTCGCTGGACGTCCCCGCGACTTCCGCCAGTCGATGACGGCGGAGACGGCCTCCGGGCCGTCGCCATGACGACGTAGTACGACGCGGAGCCGCTCGGCCAGACACTAAAAGCGGCATCTCGTCGCGCCGCGTCTCGCTGGGTGGCCCTTGACAAACGAATAAACGCCGCGGACCTCGATTCCGATGTCCGAGTCAATGCCGAGTCGGCTCTGCTTTACGCCCCTGCCCCCCGCCCCCCGCCAACACCGACACAGCGCCGGCAGTGTTTAACGCGTTTAACGGCAGTAGCTTGTAAGTGCTTCGGGCGAAAGCTGTATCGGCACCTTGTTTCCGCGAGGCTTTCAAAGAGTCCAGCCCTGTCGCTGGGCTCTAAAAGTGTAGCCACTACACACACACACACTCACGCGGTATAACGAGGTGCCGCCGTCGGTGTCCCAATCGACTAGTGCCTGAGAACTATCTTTCAGGTTGGCCGACTTTTTAATCGCATTTCCGCGCACGAAAAAGGGACGAGTGGGAAGGGGAGGGGAGGGGGGCATTCCCACGAGAGAGCAGCGAGCCCCCTGCTCCCATGCGAGGCAGGCCCACTCCACTCCCCCGCCGTGTGGCCGGCCTGGTCGGGCAGCACACTCGCAAACCCAGGCGCGAGGCGAAAAGCATTCCCATTTTATGCATTCATTCATTACCGCCGCCCCGCCCCGCCCCGCGGCGAAATGAAATAGTCGGGTTACGTGCGCGCGCCTCCGTTTCAGATTCTCTTACTTCTCTTTCGGAAAATGTAAAGACGAAGTCTGATGCGCCCCCAGCTGCACCAGACTGTCCGACTGACTCACCTCATGCACTTCCGATGCTCGTTGACGGGCACGAAGTACTCGTCGTAGGGGTCCCGCACGTCCTCGGCCGAGTCCTTCTTGATGGGGATGCCGTTGACGCCGTTGCCGCCGTGGCCGTTGGCGCCGTTGGCCGGCGCGGCCTCCTCCATGGCCGCCTTCTCCGAGGCCGAGAACGGGTTCATGTTGACCAGCTCCAGGTTGACGGCCTCGGCCATGCCGTCCTTGGCCGTCTTGGTGGGGGTGCCGTCGGCCGTGACGGTGGAGGCCGTGGAGGTCATGCTGCCGTTGAGCGGGCCGCTGGCGCCGTCCTCGGGCACCGAGATGGTGACGGCCTCGTCCGCATCGAAGGCGGCGTTGTCGTGCCCGTGGTTCGGCATGGCCGGCATGGCCCTGTCCACCTCGTCCTGGCCGGGGCGCCCGGGCCCGGGCACGGCGATGCTCACCGAGGAGGTGAAGTTGGGGCGCGGTTTGTCTTCCATGGTGGAGCCTCTACCGGGTCATGCGCATGGCGGGCTGCAACACAAACGAAACCAGGCGCTCGGTCAAACTGCAGTCGAGTTGAGTCATTGCATCTATGGGGCACCCCGCGGGGGTGCGAGAGAGACAGAGCGGCGGGGCACTGTTGTTGATTGACGCCAGAGCACACGGCCCCCGGTGTGAATGCACCCCCAGGAGGTGGCGTAGAAAGTCCCCGTCGGGGACGCCTCCTAAAAAGCGGCCGTTATAAATGAGGCTCCGTTACCGCGGCAACGCAACGACGCGGCGTGCCCGGGGCTGACGGGACGGGGCGGGTGACCCTCGCGGATCTTAATCGCGAGGCTGCACTTTTTTTCCCCCGCCGTTTTGCTTCTTA